TGTCCATTTTAGTATGATTAAGTCTCAAAATAATATTTGTAAATAAAAAATTGTATGTTCACTCTTAATTCTACCCAATTAAATTCATTCAAAAGCTTGTAAAACTAAGCTAGTTTACATACAATGAATCCTCCATAAATGTACACCCTTCATACTTTGCACTGAATGATCTTTTCTCATTCCCTATGCAAAGTTTAGATACTTATTTTCTACTTATTTTATCCTTATTTTTTTTAGTGAAGTACATTTTAAGTATGTTTTAGGGTATATTTTAAGTACATTTCGTAAAATGATGATTATTAATTTTTCACAGAATATACTTATTATATCATCAAAACATCCTTATTTTTTGCAGTAATAAGAAAATTTGTATACTTAAAACATAATTTCTACGTAAATTTAAGTATGTTTTGAGAGCATAACAAGAATATTTTAAGTGTGCGAACTTTGCATAGGGATTCATACTCCTATAAAACCATTTTCTCTAAATACACACCATGATTTCATGTGATCAGTTTGTTAAATAATTCATCATTGTTAGATGCACACTTTTTTTTAATATTCAGTGATGAAGAGAGCAAAGGATTAAGTTATTGTTACTTATACTTATAAAGAGTTAAGTGAGTGAATGTTTACTAATTCTTTCTTTTTAATTGAAAAAGAGCTATTAGAATAATAATGCAAATGGAAAAACATTTATGGGCAAAATCATTAAGGATTGTCTTTTTTTTTCTTAATATTTATGTGTAATATTAAAATGACAAAGTGAACAAAAAATTATAAAATTATATATAGGGATAAGTGTATATGAAAAATATTTGCAAGGGTAATAAATGCAATGGTTCTAATGAATATTGAAAAGCAATTTATTTTTTAGAAAAAGGTTGTAAATGTGGTTGCTCTTCAAGAATTCCCAAAGAGCAATTTGCAGAATTAAGGGAATCCTTTCAAGCTCTCACTAAATTAGAACAAGACATATTTTTGATGGCCCAACTTAAAGCAATGGATGGTGGAACAATAGGCACCAGTAGGCGCCTTAAAAAGAAAACTAGATCTAATAAAAGAACTTTCTATCACTGAGATCACAATACACCTCTTTGTCAAGAAACTTACCTCAATATGTTAGGAATTGGCAGAACTTATTTTGAAAACATCGGAAATCATCTGATAAACAATGGTCTTCTAGCAAGAGTTCATGGCAATATAAAGAAGATGCCTCAATGGAAAACTAAAATGGTGATTGATAAAAATGCTGCTGAAGTAGTAAAGAATTTTCTAGAAAATTATGCAGAAGTCCATGGATTACCAAGTCCAGGAAGAAGTATCAATAGAATAACTCAATCAGTTATCTTTTTACCAGCAGAAATGAGTTGTAAATCAGTATATAGAGATTTTCTAGCCGGTCTGGAAGAAGATAGTCATTTGAAATCCTTAAAATATGCTGCTTTCAGAAAATTATGACATCAATTGACACCAGAGATTCAAATTATGAGTTCAAGGACTGATTTGTGTGATACTTGTCAACATTTTAGAGATGGTTTACATTATAATGCTCGCCAAGAAGAAGAAGCTAAAGATTTGCTCAAAAGATTTAAAGAACATCTGTCCAAAGCCAAATTAGAAAGAAATTATTATAATAAAAATACCAAATTAGCAGAAGAACAAAGAAAATTAATTAATCAAAATTATTCAAAGGGTAAAACACAGTATTGCAGTATTGATGCTACTGCTCATTATAGTTATGATTGAGCTCAAAATGTTCATGTACCACATTTGGATCAACAAGTAAGTAAAATCTATTATCTTAGTCCATATAAGGTTCATTTATTTGGTATTCAAGATGAAGCAATAAAGGAGCAAATTAATTATGTTCTTAATGAAAATGAAATCATAGGAAAAGGTCCTAATGGCACTCTTAGTATGATCTTTGATGGAATTAAGAAATTAAATAAGGGTGAAAAATATTTAAAGATTACTTGCGATAATGCTGGTGGACAAAATAAAAATAATGTGACTATTTGATTTTATTTATATTTAGTAATTTGTGGATATTATGAAAGTGTTGAATTGAATTTCATGATTCCAGGACATACCAAATTCAAATGTGATGGTAGTTTTGGATTGATTAAAAAACTCTATAGGAAAACAAGAGTAGATTGTCTGGACCATGTGGTTGAGGTGATAAAAAAGTCTAGTCCAACAGGATTAAATAAAGCTCAGTGTTATGGAGGTGGAAAAGGTTTTCAATACTTAGATATCAAGTCTATTTTGGGAATTTATTTTAAGAAGCTAAATGGCTTGCAAAGATATCAACATTTTCTTTTTGAAGCATCTAATCTTGGTACAGTGAAAGTTCAAGAAGTTGCTAATGGACCTTCTGTTGAGTTCAATTTGTTGAAAACCAAGAAAGCAGATATTTTTGAAGAAATTAAAGCTCTATCTATTTTAGTGTTAATGCCACCTCCTTTGGATTACAAAAGGCAAGAATATCTTTACCAGAATATTCGTCCATTTGTTAGAGATGAATTCAAAGATATTACTTGCCCAAAACCATTCTATATTTGCAACAAATAAAATATTCAAAATAAAATCACTTCCATGACTTTATCACACTTGTTAATTTGTCCTTTATTGTCATTAAGTTTAATAAGTTTGATTTTTTGACAAATATTGTTAGTTTTAAAGTAAAAAAAGTACTAAAATAATTTATATACTTAATATGCACTCATAAAAAGGATATAAGTATATTAAAAGAATAATGACAAACCAAGAAATAATTTTAACTGAAAAGGAAATAAGAGAACTAATTGGTAGTTTAAACCGAAATCCAGATGAAACAGAGATAAGAGCAGTTATAGATTATTTTTGACTTCACCCTTATGCATTAAAACACTTAGAAGAAAAAGAATTTAGAAAAAGTTTTGTTCACCTTATTTACATGCATAAAAATGCAATGAATTGATGAGTAAAAGCTGATAAAGAAGTTAGAAGTCTACAGCCACTAACATCTAGTTTAGAGAAAGAGAGGAATGAATTGCTTGAAAAAATTAAGGAATTTGAAGCAAGAGTAGAAGAAAAAGATAACATAATAGAGAATTTAGAAGAAAGAGTAGACATGGAAGTTGAAATGAACTTGAAAGCACTAGACAAGTCCAAAGAATATCATGATAGAAATCTTTTCTTATTAGGAATGTCAAAGGACACTATTATAACCAATTTGAAATTAAAAATTCAAGAGTTAGAGAAGAACCAAAAAGTAGACAGAGTAAAACAATTACGAAAATTAGAAAACAAAGCCAAAACAAAAGTTAAGGAAAGAGTTAAAAAATTTAAAGAAAAAGTTAATACAATCAAAGAAAATGTTAAAGAAAAGTTCAACACTTATATTTTACAAAACAATAAATAACTATGAAATTAGAATACAGAATTTTAAAAATAGCAAAGGATAGCATAGCGAGTTGCAATTATTGCCCATTATATGTTCATTATGGAGAAGACATTACTTTCACTCCTGCTACCCATGAAATAATGGCATATGATAACAATGGAGATTGTGCTGATATTGCTTCCATCTGTGATAATTGTAAAAAAGATTTTGAAAACAATAATCTTTCTTATTGTGAACTTTGTGGCAGATTACAAAGAAATAGGAGAGGTTGTTATTGTAATCTATTGAAAGATGGAAAATTTAGAACACTTTCTGCAGAGGAGGGAACTTCCCAAACTATCAAATCTCGTTTAGCAAAGGAAACCAAAGAACTTGAAAGGAAATTGAAAACTGCCAAGGAGGAGTTGAACATTGAAAGAGAAGAAGTAGCCAAGTTTCAGGAAAAATCAGAAGAGTGAAGTAAAAAGCAAAAACAGGAATTATTGAATAAGATAAAGAGTTTAGAAGAAAAAATTAAGCAACTAGAAAAGGAAAACAGGAAATTAAAAGATCAACAGAATGGTCAATTAACTGCTCAAATTGAAGTCAAAGAGACTAAAAGATGATCTTGATTGAAAATAAAAAAGTAATTGAGGAAACTTCCCTTTGTATAAATTGAAATTCATTCCAACTATCAAAAAAAATAGTAGTTATTTTCCTTTTAAGGATTTTTGCTTTTTATTAGGTAATAATGCATCATCATGATGCTTTCTTTTTCCAAGATTTATTATTTTTCTTTCTTCTTGGTAAATTTCATAAGTAATCCTTTCTTTTCTTAGATAAGCTTCCAGTGTCTGAGTATCATTTATTTTGAAAATGTAAAGAGCAATTTTTTCACCTTGTTCTTCCTTCAAAATACTTCTAATAGTGCTATAATTCTTGGGTTTCATTGTAGATCTGATGTAAATGAGTTTCATATTATTATTTTATATAGGGGTAGTTCTGTATATCATTTAAGATAACAATGGGACATTATAAAACTGTTAAAATGTGATCACATTATAATTGTGATAATAATGACTAAATTTTGATCCCTGAAATCATTGGTAATGCCAATGTTCACTTTGTCTGGTTTTGTTGCAGCATGCCCCATATTAAACAGTCCAATAATGATTTCACAAATTTTTTTTTACTTTTTTTTTTTAAAAAAAAGTTTTCTCTTGAAAATGTCTCATGCATGTACTTTAAAATGAAATTTGGTGGGCAAGGATTTTGGATAGAATTGACGAAACTCTACATAATTATCCAAAATTACCAAAAAAGCCATTAGCAGTAAGCAGGTAGTGTATAGGTGTATTTATTAACTTATTACTTAAGTACCAGCTAATGTGAACTTTGTATGGAATGCAGTTTGCCATTCCAAATTGGCTCAAATATAACAATCAAAAATTATAACACTTTTCTTAACAACTATGGTTCAGAGGGATATAAATTCTATTTCAAGTTAAATTCTGACAATAAAACTGGTAGTGTATATATAATTGATATGGCAACAAATGTACATGAGGCTATTGTTAATCTGCTTCAAAAGTTTTTCAAAGTTCCTAACAGAGGAGTTATTTATGACCCTCCCATGCTAGCATTAGGACAATCTCATGAGGGAATCTATTCTAGTTCACTTCTTGTTATTGAATTTTCAATAATCTAGTATAGTCTGCCCTTGTTTCAACAAAGTGGCTGGACATATAAGAAAATTTTATTCAACATTCATTGAAACAAGGTTACTAATCACGTTTCAACGAATTTTTATATGTTTTCATAATGTGTAACAATGTTTTTAAAAATTCATTGTATCAAAAATTTAATTATACTTCATTGAAACAAGGGTTCACTGTAGTCTTTTTATATCTCTTAAACAGTCAGAGTATTCATTAATGGTAACACAAATTAAAGTTTTGATCATTCTTATTGGTCAATTTAACAATCAGCAAAGTAAAAACAGTCAATCAACCAACTTTTAAAGAGGATTTTACAAAAACCACAAGGACAACAACTGGATTTTTATTTATAGATTAACCAGCTGAATCTCAAAGATCATTTTCGTATTAGAAAGTGATGCCTTCAGAAAAAATTTTTTATATCAGAAAAATTTTATCAGCTATCAATAGCCAATTAACCATTTAAGGGATAGTTCACTTAAACATAATGGAGGTGGGTTTGAAATAGCTCCTGATGTTGCCGTATATCCAAACACAGCACTTGTTTCAAGACCTGTTAATTCAATCATAGTACCTCATCCTCCCAGTGATGTAGATGTATGTTGAGATTTATGTTTTATTGTATTTTGTTTTATATGTGATTTTCATTATTATGGTTTATGTAGGGAAATCCACATGCACGGATAGTGTGCAAGGTAGCAGTGAGCCAAAATGTTGGTCATTTGAAAGAAAGGTGCTTGACTTGGATGTGTCTACAATATGTTTGTGCTGTTATAAGTATCAAAATTTAGATCCAAGATCAGGGATTCGAGAACCTAGAACTGGTTATTTTTATAGAACAATGATGGTATATCATTCAATAATACCAAGTTAAGCATTGTATCTTTTCATATCTAATTAGTCTGTTCTTTTAAATGTTAGGCAAAACTTTATCGTCAAGGAATGGAAAAACAAGAATGGGATTTTGGAAATGTTATAAAACATTCAAGAGATCCTATCAATGAACCTGCTCCTTGCAATGCACCAAACTTGCCAAATTTTCAGATAAATATTCCCATAAGTGAAGTATTTTGGGACCTGACATTTCCCATCCCACCTGGATATGCACCAGTAATCCCCCCTGCAATTACAGTCAACAATTTTACTACTGACTTGTACCAGACAAGTAGCTTTAAAATCTAAATGTGAACAAATTCTGGTATTTATTGTTACAAAATTGTATATACTGTACATAATTGCTAAAAATAAATACAAATAGTTTGACATTTTTTACTGCTTTATATTTTAATTACTGTATTTTCATAATGCATAAGTTTCCTCATATCATTTATAAGTCTACTTGAAATTTTGTTCTGTAAATGTATAAAAATTTTTTTTTCTTACAGAAGGATCAAGTAAGTGTCCAACAGGATAAAAATGTGCAAAATAGCTGTATTAACCAGTAATAATTTACCTTAAACATTTAAAAGACTTCCAATGCCAAAAATGTTCATTATAAAATGTAGTGATATATAAATTTTGCCAAATATTTTATTTAAAATTTCAGCAATCTTTTTAGAAAAACAATGAGACCATTTAGATTATTTTTTATAAGATGCGAAAGGTTTAAATCAGTAGGGAGAGATTCAGTATGGTATAACTCTTGCAGAACATGGTATGGTATGGTATAAATCCTTTTTTGGCGGGTGTGAAGGGAAGCATGTTAGATTTAAGCATTGGTATACAACACTTATACAATACCATACCATACATTCTGCAAGAGTTATACCATACTGAATGTCCCTCGATTTAAATGCCAATTACAATTTGTCCTAGATCCCAATTCTTTTTGTCACATGAGTTTTCAAAAATTTCTGATCTACCCTTTCTAAGCTTAAATTCCTAACAAATAAAAATTTTTTCTATTTTATCTTAGAATAAGGTGCATCTTTAGGTTAAAATTGATGATAATCATAACCATATTAAACATTTATATACTAAGTTTATTGCCCAATTAATTCAATTATGTAATTTCTAGACTTGTAATCTTTTTTGATTTATATATTACTAATATATAAAAAAATGATAATAATAATATCATACATTAATGACAATAATTAAAACATCTATAAAGTAAGCTGTATAAAACATAATAATTGAAAATTAAATAAATAGATATAATAATTAAAAATATTTTATTTATACATGAACTCAATAATTAATAAATATAAATAGTAATTCACACATTTTAAAATTTTATTCATTCTTCTCCTGTTGTGATGTCGATTGTTGATTTGTTTCTGTAGGTACCTTTTGCCTTTCTATCACGTTGATAAAACTCTTGCAAAACCTTTTGTGGTATACGATTCAACATTTCTTTGGGGAAAACTCGAAGAATTCCCCAAGCACTATCTAATGATTCATAAATTGTTCTAGATTCATACGCACCTAAAATAATAATAATGTAATGATAAATAATATTCAATCAATAAAAAAATTTGCTTTTATAAATCTATAAATGTAATCAACTCGAATCCATTCATCTATCTATCTACCTTGTGCAATATAAGTTTTTTCAAATCTTTCCAAAAATTCAAGTGAAAGTTTATCTTCTTGATTCAATGCCTCTTCACCTACAACGGCTTTCATAGCAGCTGCATCTCTACCAATGGCATATTTAGCATACTAAAAAAATCATTATTTTATCAATGAATATGTGTAATAAAAAATAAATAAAAATAAATAAATATACATGTATATTTTTACATAAAATTAACTTATAACTTTCAAATATCTTAAAAAAAAATTGTGTATGAATATATATACCAATTGGTTGGAAACATCTCCGTGATCTTTTCTAGTCATACCCTCACCAATAGCAGATTTCATTAAGCGAGAAAGAGAAGGTAATACATTAATGGGTGGATAAATTTGTCGATTATGCAATTGACGATCAACAAAAATTTGTCCTTCTGTGATATATCCTGTTAAATCAGGAATAGGATGTGTAATATCTATAATATAGTATAGATGATTAAAAAAAAAAGATAATATAAATATATTAATATAAACCTTTTCCTAATTATATATGGTTTATAACTTTCTTTTGTTAATTTAAAAAAAAATTCATCTTATTAATGAAAAAAACTTACCGTCATTAGGCATAGTCAGAATTGGAATTTGTGTGATACTTCCGTTCCTTCCTTCTACACGACCAGCACGCTCATAAATCGTGGATAAATCGGTATACATATAACCAGGATAACCACGGCGACCAGGAACTTCTTCACGTGCTGCTGAAACCTCACGCAAAGCATCGGCATATGAACTCATGTCTGTTAAAATAACCAATACATGCTTTTCAAGTTGATAAGCATAATATTCAGCAGTTGTAAGTGCCAGTCGAGGAGTTACGATACGTTCAATTCTAAAATTAAAATTAAATTAAATTTTTTAAATTCGTTCTTATAATTTTTCTTTTAAACAATTATAACGTACGTTGGATCATTAGCCAAATTTAAAAACAGAGTTACGCGCTCAATAGAACCATTTTCCTCAAAATCTTGTTTAAAAAATCTTGCAGTTTCCATATTAACACCCATAGCAGCAAATACAATAGAGAAATTGTCTTCATGATCATCAAATATTCCTTTATCAACTTTTTTTACAAGACCAGCCTGACGACAAATTTGTGCAGCAATCTAAAAAAAAAAATTAAATAATTATAATAATGGAAAGAAAAAGGTTAAGATTGTTAATTTATATTCAGTAATATAAACATATTTCTAATTTGTTGACTAAACTACGAAACTTTTTTATTTATTTATAAAACAGAACTTCACTTCATTATGAGGTAATCCAGCAGCAGAAAATATAGGAATTTTTTGTCCACGAGCAATTGAATTCATTGTATCTATTGCTGAAATACCAGTCTGTATCATTTCTTCAGGGTAAATACGAGAAAATGGGTTGATTGGGGATCCTAAAAAAAGAAATAATTTTTATAAATATTAATTGTCATTATCATCATTTATGATTATTATGATCATGATGGTTTTTGTAATTTAACTACTTACCATTAATATCTAAAAAGTCTTCAGCAAAAACTTTTGGTCCTTTATCAATAGCTTTTCCTGAACCATTAAATATACGACCCAACATATCCTCAGAAACTGGAATTTTAAGTGTATCACCAGTAAATTCAACATGAGTAGCTTTAGAATCAACTCCCGACGTTCCTTCAAAAACCTTTTAGAAAAAAAATTTTCTTTTAAGCATTAATAAAAAAATATTTATGATAGTTATAATAGTTTTGATTTAAAATGAATTAGTAAAAACCTGAACAATGGCCTTTTTTCCTTGAACTTCTAATACTTGACCAGCACGTCGACTGCCATCAGGTAATGTTAAATTAACAATTTCAGCAAATTTTGGAAACTAATAAAAAATAGTTTCTTTAATTCAGTTAATTCAATTATCATTATCATCATTATTGAAATAATCACTAAATAAATGTAAATAAATTACTTTGACATTATCTAAAACTACAAGTGGTCCATTCACACTAGAAACAGTTCGATAATCTGAATTATAAAAAAATTTATCTTTTTATATATCTACCTTACAAAAATAATTGCAAATATTTTTTTTAAACTAACCTATACGTGGTATTACGGAATAATTTCTAGTAGCAGCTAAAGCATTGATTTTAAAGGCTTCTTTTGAATCGGACATTTTTTAAATAATCGTGAATATGAAAACGTTTAAAAAAAAAAATTTAATTCAAATTATATTTTTATATTGATCAGGAAGGGATCTGAAACGATAGTAATAATATAAGATTATTTTGATAATCAAATATCTAGAGATCAACAAATACACAATCTTTATTTTATTTTGTGATGAAATTTATGCATTTATTATATATAACATTATTAGTATAACTAACTACAAGAATAAAAAAAAAGATTATAATATTACAGATTGTCTCGGATAGATTTTAAATAAAAATAGTGATATAATATTGATAATAATGTTTATTAATTAATTAATTTATTTAACAACAATTTAACTAAATCCTCACTATTACTTGAAAACTTAAGCCAGAAATTAGTTATTATAGCGGCCATCAAAGTTGCACATATAAAAGTAGGTCCAACACGATCCTCATAAGGTCCCGGACTACGTCTCCTAATCATTCTCGCACGCCAAAGGAAAGTTCCAAGAGCATATAACATTATCATCATGGCAATAGCAGTAAACAGGAATGATGATATTTGTGCAACATCATCACCAAAGTTCAATAGTCCCAGTGCCATACCACCCAAAAGGATAGTAAAATGCAACCAAGATAAGAATGTCCTTTCGTTTGCGAAAAATACTTTTGGCTCAATGCGCACTGGTATTGCGATAGGCTTACCACGATGTGATTTTGGAAGACGACCCGATGATATTGTTGCTAGTATTTCTTCCTCTTCTTCAAGAATATTTGGTACTTCACGTGATCCATAATCATTGTATTTTTGGGTGCGTTTTTTATTATCATTTAGAAGTAATGCTGTTGTTTCATTGTCATTATCATTATCATCATCATTATCATTAAATTCATAACCATTCCTTGGATTACTATCAATTAAAACTTCAATGTTGTCGTCATCATCTACTTGAGTACTTGATGCTTCAGTTGTTACACTTGTGGTCATATCAGAAGCTGACCTAGGACGCTTTAGTTGGAAAGAAGTAGGTCTTTCTGGTTTTTTGCGAATATCAATGTCCATTTGTGGAAGCCAGAAAGGAAAAAGTTGAATTTTTCTATCTTCCATAAGAGTTGCAACTCCGTGAATAAATTTAGAAAATTTGGGCACAGCTTCAACCTATTTTGAATAAATATTTAAAAAGAGTTCTTGATATTTTTCTATCAAAAAAAAAAAAAAAAATATATATATATATATGATTTACCAAATGACTATGAACTAATTCTTGAACCCATTCTGGAGGTTCTTGACCATGTTGAGTTTGTAACTTGACTTCCAGTACAGCGTAAGGGAACAATTCAACTTCACCGTCAGGTAATTGTGAAAATGGATAATCAATACCAATATCCATTCTTCGCCAATTATTTCCAGAACGTAAATTTGGATTATTTTCAAAATTATCTTCACGAACCATGGTCAACTCAGTGTCGAGTGATATACGAACACGAGCATCACCGGGTAATTGAAATGCCGTACGATTATAAAAGGTGCGGACGACTATTGTTATTTTAAAAAAAATTTTGGTTTTTTTTTATTAGTTTTTTTCTGAGAGGAAAAAAAATATAATTAAAAATACAGTACCCGGTTTTAATTTTTTTGTAATGATTCTATATTGGACTTCATTAGCCAATCTGGCTAAACTCGTAATTTCATCTTCCCCTTTTCCCTTGGCCTTCATCTTCTCGAACTCATTTTCCATCGTGTATTGTCCGAGAGAATATTTATTTACATGTTTTTCCTTGATGCGAAACCGCGCCTTCACAGATTTTTCACCAGTCCAATCTTCTCTGTGGGTTTTGCGTTCAACAAAAATTTCCTCGGTATCCATTCCACCATACCACCTTAATCTGATAGCTTCAGCACCTTCGGATTTTTCCAATCTACCAGTATAGAGGTCAAAGTTTTCATTGTCATAATAAATTGAGGTGATGGCTGAATCTGATGTTTCAAAATCCTTGTCTAGATTGAACACTAGAACGGGTAGATGCTTTAAAATGATTAATTTGATCTCTGTTATGTTGTCTGGATGAACCCAATATTTTGTAGTTGAACGAACAAAATTTTGTTGTTGACCACCAGCACTAGAATCACCCTTTGTAGGATTCCCACGAGTACGAACTATATCATAAAGACGTGATAATTTTACTATTAGCGCATCATAATTTTCTTTATAGAAAGGTTTGGCATTTAGCCGAACCATGAACATGGGTTTGAGCACCCATCTTGTTTGTTTCTATAATAAAAAATAAACAAGTAAATATTTTTAAAATAACATATTTATTATGATGGTGGGTTTTTTTTTAATGGTAATAAAGACTTACATCGTGTTTTTTAATAATTTTTAAAAAGCCAGTATAATTTAATCTTGTAAATTTAGCAAGGTCATGAACATCAGCTATGATCATTGACAATTCTGTATCAAGTAAAGTATAATTTTCTTCTTTGGCAGCAGAGCCTAATTCGATGATATCTTTGATTTCTTTCTCTGAATGTAGGATTCGCCTATTTATTTCTCCAGATTTTACCTTCTGAAATTCATAGACCTTGTCTAATTCTTTTTCAAGAAGTTCAACAAATGCAGTCTCATCATCCTCGCACCATTGTCCATTCTCAAGACGAGTTCTAGTTTTTAGTTCATGCTTGAGCTCGTCGTATGCCAGATAAAAGTAAGTCCATTCTGGATATAAAGAAGTTTTTAAGTGATGACCAAATTTCATATTTATATTTTATTTATTTTATTTCAATTATCAGATATTTATTATTTTTTTTTTTCGATTAACGATTAAAAATTTTTTTTAATTATATTAATTATTATATAAACAGATAAACATGAAAAAATAGTAGATAGATAGATTATAAACATTTGATATAAAAAAAGTAAGAGGGCGTTAATGAATTTTTAATTGAAATTTGCAGTGTTTTTCTCAGGTGAAACGTTGTAATTAGAGATTGTGGATTAAGGTTAATTAAGGCCCTAAAACTAAACTTGTCAATATTAATGTAATAAATAATATATATATAAAGATTTACATTAACTAGTTAGGGTTACTAAATAATTTTAGGGAGTTAATTCTTTCAAGATCATCCATCTACGGCAAGAAGCGCCATTTTATAATTCGTGAAAGAAATAAACAACAATAATAACAGAACATAAATATTACGTTAAATATTAAAACATAATGTTTATAACAACAATATTTTTATTGAGTCGCGATTACCCTTAAAAAATAAAACTCCAGAACCGCCAAAAACCGACTCCAAAAAGATTTATATCAAAAGCATAAATGCACCATTAAATTTTGACAAGATCAAGCTGCCAAGATTGAACTTAATGATCACTCAAAAATTATCAAGAAGTTTATATCACAAATATCATCACACCATCATCACAATAAACAAGTTCAAAAACAAGATTGATAATAAGTAATGGAAAATTTTCCGCCATTGGGAAGTCCGTTGTCGTTAATTTTTTTTAAAAAAATAATTTGTAATTGTTTTAATCTACTATTAAAATTTAATGCATAGAAACATTTAACAAAACTAAGAAGCTTTGAGAGCATGGAAGGACTTCTCCTGCAGCACACTGCAGATATTAGAGTAAAATCCCGATTTACCCCAAACACAATCGCCAAAGTAATTTATTATTGGTAAATATCATTAAACGTCCGTTGTAATAAAGATGCAAATAAAAGGCAAATAGCATGGAAAAATTATGCACATGTATTATAATAAAGTATCAATTATTATTTTAAAGCAATAATTTACCTATCAGTCTATTAATCTAGAGTTTGTTATTTGATATATATTTTTTTTTATAAGTTATTTACAAATTAGTATATATTAAATATTGATGATAATATCTCCCTCCTCCATTAGCAAATGGAATAATTAATATTATGTTATATTAGTTGTGCTATATATTGTGTCATTTATATATTAATTAATATCCTTCTTTTCTCTCCATAATTCGCCTCATTGTAATCGAGAATAGTCTATTAATTCAAAGCAATCATTATCAACAGGGTCGATGCACAATGTCTCATTTTCTAAAGAATCTTGACATGATCGCATATTGTTGTTTGTCGACAATAGATAATTTGTTGATGTTGTGCCAACTGTAGTTTGAGTAATAATTGGTTCCAAACCATTATCATTGCTACAATTAATAATATTGTTGTTATTAATAGTAATATCATTGGAAGATCCTTCCCCGAATGAAGAATAATCGATTTTAATTTTCGTCATCAACATGGCAGTTCCATCGTCATCATTGTTTATTTGTCCTATTTTTTCACTTTTCGTAATATACATTGCAGCAGTGACATCTTCTACTTTATTTTCTTGATAAAAAATGGGGTTCGTGTGTAATTCATCATTAGGAGTCATCAATGGTGTCACTAAAGGTGTATCATCAGGTGATTCAATATCGTTATTTGGCAAGAATGATTTAGGTTCAAGAAGAAATGGGAATTGTGGAAATGATGGAAATGGATAACCAAGTAATTTATTCTCGTCGTTATTCTCATCGTTAAAATGAAGAAGATGATGTTCAAGGTCTTGCTTGAATGATTGTTCTTCTATGATTTCCATATCGTTATTGTTATTATGAATTGTAGTTTTGGTGGTAACTAATTTTGTAAGTTTTGGTTGTAATGGCAAATGTAGATGGTCGAAAGTTAAGATCATGTCTTTGTTTTTGCGTAACGCTCCATTAAGAATTAATTCTTGACTTGGTTCTATATTGCATAATTCTAAATATGCACTCGGTGGATAGAGATTGTCATGATTTCCTGCAAAATATAAAAATATTAATAAAATATAAAATATAAAAACAATTCAATTATCAATTTAACTACCTTTATTTTCATAAATAACCATGTGGTTTAGACCACCATCCGTCTTTACAGAAATAGTTTTCTTGAATAGTCCATCTTTGCGATGTATGAATGTTCCTTTATTACAAATATAATATTTCAAATTTTCCATTTCTATTCGCTTCTTAATCATGTCATCTAAATCTTCGTATTTTTTTATATCAGGAAATCGTGCACACAATTCATGATACACCAAGAAATCTCCCTGAATACGACTTGGCGACCATTGTCTATTTTTATTTACATTAATATATAGTGAGAATACATTTTACATGACCATAATTATGATAGATCGTAATAATGAATTTTTAGATTTTTATTATCCAATCAATCCCCAATACGATAATACACATACTTTCCGTCAGTCCAACGTTTGATCCTTGATTCAAATTCGTCATAAACATAACTAATAGTTTTAATAAAGATAATTAAATATGTGGCCAAAATCATCAACATCATCAAAATCATCAATCAATCATCAATCAATCAATAATCAATCAATAATCAATCAATCAATTTATTATTTACATCGATCCAACACGCAAGCATCTTTTTTCTTCATCTGTTAAACGACGTGTTATTCTATACAATACTCCTTGTCTGCATGCCTCTGCTCAAATAAACAAAAAAATTAAGTTGCGCGTAAAAAGAAATATTTAAATATGAATTTTTATTTTTGGGGGCTTTTTTGTGTATTTACCAAAGATGATTAACGCGTCTTTAGTTGTATTGATTATGCCTAAGAACGATGGAAATGTGATTGTTTTTCGTAAAGTACAAATGAAAATATTATAACGATATTATAATATTATATCTTTATATTTACCATGAAAGGTTTCCATTGTAAATGTTAAAATTACTTGTATTTAGATTATTTCAAAGAATTTTTTGGCAAAGAATTTGAATTTTTTGAAAATTCTCTCGATTCATTTATGTATGAAATCATAAGCTTTTTATTATTATTATTATTATTATTACCATCATATTACATTTGTTATAATTAAGATCAATTAGTTATCCGATTCATGTCACATGGTGGAAAGAAAAATTTTAAACTTCTAATAGACTATAAACGATCAAATCAAAGAACTTGAAAAATTCATTTTCGATGTGCGATCGGCGGCAATCGGTAATTTAATCTTTTGTGTAATACATTGTATATATATATTAAAGGTAGATAGATAGATAGACAGATTATTATTAATATGACAGTTGTTAGTCGCAAAACTTTTTATTTGTTGATTTATTTATTACTCTTTTTCAATTGTGTTGGATTCTTTTGGAAACAACATTTAAACAATTTAAACATTAAAACAACCCCTTTCCAAAAAAGATCAACACTTTCAAATTTAAGTTTAACAAACCTTGACTACTTCAATTCCAATGTTTTGACTTTAATTTCAGAGGTATGTTCATTAATTTATAATTTTATTTAAATTCTTGTAGAATTTAATCAACGTGCAAATAATTGAATTCAAAATGTTTTTATATCTAAGAACCGAATTTTTTAATCACAGTGTGATGATATCTATAAACATCCAGATCAATGTACTTTTGTTCGCGAGTACTGTAAAGATTATTCTCCCGGTTTGTTCAATTACTTGGAATACTACTTTTGTGATTTACAACATTGGCAACTTTTTGCATTAATGACTTTGGTAAATGTGCAAATATTAATGATTCTTTAATATTACTCATTCGTTCGCTCACCCATTATTTTGATTTATAGTTTCTATGGCTCATGTTTTTATTCGGTTTCATAGGAGTTGCTGCTTCTGACTTTTTTTGTCCAAATTTAAATACAATTGCTTCAAAATTAAATTTATCTGAAAGTATGGTAAATATTAATGTTATTTTTGTGCAATTAAGAAAATTCATATATATATAACACACACACACATATATATTTAATAAACTGACAATAAATATTTGTTATAATAAAAACAAAGGCTGGCGTAACATTTTTGGCATTTGGAAATGGCTCGCCTGATGTTTTTAGTACTTTCAGTGCTATGACACATGGATCTGGATCATTGGCAATCGGTGAACTTATTGGCGCTGCAAGTTTTATTACTTCTGTGGTAGCTGGATCTATGGCAGTGATATCACCATTTCGTGTTAACAAAATCCCATTCCTACGAGATATCACCTTTTTCTCTATTTCAATCTTATTTACACTTTTAATTATTTTGGATGGGGAAATTTATTTATGGGAAAGCATCATTTTGGTTATTTTTTATTTTATTTATGTTAGTGTAGTGGTGGTGGGAACTTGGTATGTAAGAGATCAAAAAAAGAAACAATGGCAAGAGCAAAGAGCTAGAGAGGAATACGATGATTCTATTGTAATGATGAGGCGTGATATTAGTAACGGTGAGATTGGTGATGATGATTATGATTATGATGATATGGATAATAACATGCCTATTGAAGAGGTTTTTGGTGGTAAGATATTTCTCAAACAAATAATAATATATTTAGGAGATGTTACTTTTGATTTATTATTAATGTATAGTTTTAAATAAATAATTATCAAGAAAATCAAGATGCATATGGCTACGACACATACAATGAAAATGATCTTTTACTACCGGATGTTGAACATAGAAGTGGTGCTGATATTATTATCAATGGTAATAGTAGTAGAGGAAGAAGAACTTCATTTAGCAACAACAACAGAGATTTTCAACTACAAGAACAATATTCTCCTTCTTCGTTCATATCTGTAAATGATGTAGTAGATCAAACTATGCATTTTCATCATCATCACCATCATCAAATTATTTCAAATAAAAATACAAAATCATTGCATCGGGGAATGAGACCTTCGTTATTTGGTGCAATCGAGGTAAATTGTGTATATAAATAAATCATACATAAATATACCAATATATTATAACTATTAAAGATCATTTTTATTATTTATTTAAAATCATAAAGTTTCGAGATGTTGTCAAATCCCTTAAACTAGATAGCAATGTAAACACATTAGGTTTATTTGGACATAATAATTCTAACAATTATTATCGTCAGCATCACCAGCGTCATCCGGAAAGACTTGATAATAGATCTAGTAATCCAGAAAGAAAAAATTGGTCTAATATAGGAAGAGAGGAGAGAGCTTTAGAAACTATTGGTGGATCAACTGGTCGTCGTCATAATGTCGGCAATAACGATATTCATGATGCCCCAAAAATAAATATACAAACGCCCAAAATACCATCAACGACAGACGAGGATTTCTTCGCATCTGGTTCAACTTCTTCTAAATTTAATAATAATTCGAATAATTCGGGAGAAATAGGTAGCAGCAATTTGAATGTTCCAAGTCTTTTGGTAATTCCACCAACGCCAAATCAAGGACCTGTTGTTGTCTCGAATATGTCACCTTCATTAAATTCATCTACAATTGATTTATTACCAAAAACTCATCAAGAAGAAGAGAATAATGATGATTTTACTCCAGTGCCCCCTTTAGTTTTAGAATCATCATCATTACCTAAAATGTCTCCATTTACGTGTCTACGATCATCATTCTGGACAAAGGCTCGAGCAACTTTATTTCCATCGCTTACAGGATTTTCACAGAAATCATATTTTACAAAATTAACTGCTTTAATGGCCATGCCAGCAATTTTCTTGCTTACGTTAACTCTACCTGTTGTGGAAGCAAGTGCTTTAGCATCTGATGAAAATGAAAAAAGAAATAAATTATTACAACAACAACAACAACAACACAATCATTTAGGTTTAGATTTAGATTTAGATTCAGTTATTGATGAACTACTTGAAGAAGAAAATGAAGTTGGTTGGAATAAATGGTTGACAGCCATACAATTTCTATGTGCTCCTATTTTTATTTCTAGCGTTTTATTTGGTAATAACCAATTTTGGGGTTTTTTTGATGTGGAAATTAATATTTTTTTGAATACTAATTGAAATATCTTTAAAATATTTTTTTTACAGCTGGTGACAAATCAAGTGTTATTATTGTGTTGTATGCTTTCATTTTTGGGTTGTTAGCATCTATCTTCTGCATCTTATTTACAAGTGAATTTAGAACGCCAAGATTTCATTCATTACTTTGTTTTATGGGATTTGGTGTTGCAATTGTCTGGATATTTCTTGTGGCCAATGAAGTTGTAGGTCTACTTCAAGTAAGTGCAAAAGAAAAGAAAAATAGATAACATGGTTTAATATATTGTATATTATAACGGTGATAAATAAATTTTGTTTATTTAGGCTTTAGGCCAAATAATGGGATTATCTGATGCTATACTTGGGTTAACAATTTTTGCAATGGTAATTTCTTATTATTATTATAAACACATACAACATATATTTATTTACTAATGTTTTAATTTTTAATAGGGAAATAGTTTGGGAGATTTTGTTGCAAATATTACTATTGCAAAAATGGGATTTCCTATGATGGCCATGAGCGCATGTTTTGGTGGTCCTATGTTGAGTAAGTTTATTCTTTATTGTCGTTAATTAGCAGAAGAAGCAACTGATAATTATTTTGTATATTAATATTTATATTTTTTATTTGATTTAATAGATATATTACTTGGAGTTGGTATTAGTGCTACTTATGTAGCAATTAAAACAGGCAGTCCAAGTAAGATTGAAGTTGAAGCAACGTTATTTATATCATCAATTGGATTATTATTAGGGTTATGTTCGGTTATGATTTATTTGCCATATAATGGTTATCGAATGACAAAAGCTTTGGGATATTATCTGATTTCAATTTATGTAATTTGTATGTTGATAAATGTTGTATTGGAAGTGAAATCTATTAATAGTTCATGATTTTTTTTTCTAAAAATTTTATTTAATTTAATAACAACAATAAAAATTTAATATATAGGATAAAAATAAATAAAAAATAGTAAAATATATACATATATACAGTGTGTTGCGAAAAAAATTGCGCGTGAATTGTAAAATTGATTTTTATAATAAATAAAAAAAAATAGATTTGTTTACATGATTGCCATTTTTATAAATGTTTATTTTTTCCTTTTTTAATCTCTTTACAAAAAAGAAATTATCCTACTTCATTGTTTATTTCGTTTAAAACCTTGCAAACATGCCCAATAAAGAACTTGAGGCGCAACGTCAAACAATTCTACATTACTGGCTAAATGGAATTCGTACTGCCAAAGAAATATATACAAAAAAAAATATTTCCATTCGTACTATTCAATACAACATCAAAAAACTCAAAGAAAAAGGCACTGTTAAACATATTGGTGGTAATGGCCGTCGTTCTAAGGTTACACATACTGTTTCGCGTTCAATTGGGCAACTTGTTCACCATAATTCTGCAATTACAACACGTCAACTTGCATTTCGAATTCAAGATACACATAATGTATCTATTCCACATACTAATATTGGGCGACACATGGCAAAAAAGGGGTATAATAGTGCCATACCACTTTCCACCCCAATGCTTACCAGTAGTCATATAGATGCTCGAAAAACATGGGCACAGCTCATTTGAACGATAACTGGGACTATATCATCTTTACAGATGAGACTGCTTTTGATTTATTTCGTAATAAAATTTCAAGATGGTATAAAAATGGAGAAAGACCAGTTAGAAGATTACCAAAATCACGACAAAAGGTAATGGAATTTCATTGAATGGCAAAACCCCTTTGTTTTGCTTTACAGAAATAATGGATGGTCCTTTTTATGTGAGTATTTTGCAAACCCAGCTTCTTCCTGTTGCTCAAAAACTGTATGGTAGAAACTGGTGTTTGCAACAAGATAATGATCCTAAGCACACTTCGCGTGTTGCAAAGGACTTTTTATCCCAAAATAATATTCATGTTTTAGACTGGCCATCAAACAGTCCCGATCTGAATCCCATTGAAAATATGTGGCAGATCGTAAAAAATAATGTAGAGAGAATGCCTAGAAATACTAGTGAGTTGAAACAATTTATGGTTGAAGAATGGGATAAAATCCCCCATGAAACAGTACAAAATTCAATTAAATCTATGAAAAATCGTTGTGAATTAATATTACAAAAAAATGGGGATAGAATTTCGTATTAATTTTTTTATATTTAATAAAGTAAATAATGAACTTTCAAATGAATCTATTTTTATTTATTTTCAATGTGTGCTTGTTGAGATTTACGTTTTTATTTATGCACAATTTTTTTCGCAACACACTGTATGTTGTATGTGAAATTTGAAATTGAAATATTATGGAGCGGGGTGAAATTCTGATTGGCTAATTTGAATTTCACATATGTGAATTGCGAATTCACATAATTTCATTTTCACGTACAACATATACATATACAGTATATGTAATAATTGCCATCACGCATAACAATTGAAGTCCTTTTGATATTTAACGAGTGAAAGAGATGTATTGTCATAATGTTTTTTATATAATATTGATTAGGGCAATTGACTAAATGCATCTAAATCAAACTGTTGAGAATCTAAAAAAATATTATAGAAAATGTTAAGCTCAAATTAAAAAAAATTTAATAAATAATAATAATTACAATTATAATCACTAATAATTGTGACTTTGTTGGAATTTACAGGTTGTGGAAGATTTGTAAATTTTAATAATCTGCTGATATAAACAGCATTTGGATGAAGGATCAAATCTAATCTTATCCATTTCGTCAAGTATTTTTCTATTTGCCCTTAATTCATCAAGCTGTTCTTTAGAATAATTACACTCATTATCATATTCACTCTCAGTATTATATATTAAATCATCTTGAAACGCTTTATACCAAGACCAAGTAATATATTCAATTTCTCCAGCAGATGGACGTTTATCTGGATCAGCATCCATGCATCTGTATGCTAATTCAATATAAAATTTTGGGGTGTTGTTAGAGAATCCTGGTCTTATCCCTTCACATATTTTAATTGCAAGACCTATATCATGTGCAAAATTAGTAAAAGGTTGTAGTCCTGTTGAAATTACTGACATCAATATGCCAAAACTATATATATCTGATGCCATAGTATATGGTTTGCCATTTAACACTTCAGGAGCTAAATATGGCAAGACTCCATTAATTCCATTTTCATTTGATGTTGATGTTTGATTAGCTGGAATTGATAATCCCAAATCTGAAATATATGAAACAATACCATGTTGTAGAATGTTGCCACTGTGAAGATCATGATGAATGATATTTCTTTGATGAATTTGCTTTAAACCTTTAATAATATTATGAAGGATTTCTATTTTACTTTCCCATTTTAAATATTTAAATGTTTTTGATATATAATTTTGAAGACTCCCATCCTCAATATATTGCATTACACATATATACTCTTTTGTAATTTGATCTTGTGTTAATCCATAATTTTAATTATCTGAACATTATGATGAAACATAACATAATTTTTAAACTAAAGAAAAAATAAATATTTAATTATGAAAAATAATAATTAATAGAATTTTTTTTTCAAATAAAATTACTACCTCACTTAAAAATTCTTCTGAAGTATTTTGAGAATTATGTAATTTTTTCAATGCAACAATCCTATCTTTACAATGCCTTCCAATATAATCAGTGTATTTGTTACCATTTATCCAAGTAGCTTTGTATATAGTTGCAAATCCACCTTCACCTATCTTTTCAATATTTTTTATATCATAATAAGGAATCCATTCTAGGTGATGATTATTGTCATAATTTGTTGCTTCAAGCTGTGTACTTTTGATTATTCCATCTATGGTTTCATTACCACTAGTCCATCCTTCAGTTAATAATTTCAAATCACAGGGTTGGCACCATTCCCAATTAGTTTTATATCTATTACAAGTTGAACATGTGCCATATTCCTTTTTTCTTTTATTTGAATATTCATCATTATACATGTGGTCAAAATTATTGGATTGAGTCATGATGCAATTAAAAACCAAGAAAAATGACATTCAAAATGTGTGATAGAATCAAAATTTGTCCATGATTTTTAAAAATCCTTGCTTGAATATTTAACAAATCAGGATGCAACTGGTTTAGGTATTTAAAAACTGCCTTACTAAGAAATGATATTCAATATTGTCATTTGTTTATCTTAAACCATCAATTGATGATAAACCGGTTCGTAGAGCCTGAGTTATATCAATTAATCTATGTTTGGGAAAACAAATAAAAATGTTATGGTATTAACCTCGAAGCTGATAGCATAAAAACTAGTTTTACATTTACCACAAGAGTAGCTTCAGCTACGTAACAACACATTTCTTATATCAAATGAGCACCCCCATCTGCCCAATCTTTTGATTTTGTCTCACCATTACAAGTTTCATTGATACAAGGAATCTTTTTGCACATAATTTCAGTAAAATTTTTCTGGTCTTTAGAAAAAAAAATTAGTAATAAATAATCATCATTAGGATCAGGAACCAAATTGCGATGTGAGTTTTCTATATGGATGTACCATTCACTAATATTTTTAGGAGTGTTATTTCCTTTGCATGCTTCTGCAAATTTTTTTGGTTCGGCATCTGATTGAGCTTTAGAGTCTGTTTATGACCCTTTATGATGGCATATCATTATCATTACATTAATATTATAAAAAAATGAGTTAAATTAAAATGAATTTATCCAATTCTGGCAAGTCGAAAAATATGGCATAAAATTCGTGGGAGAAAAAGAATAGAATGTAACATTACATAAAAGATTTTTGATAGTGTAGTGTTACCAATTACAATTTTATTTTGTTGATCAGGACTTATTTTAGTATGTTACGATTTATTTCTTTAAACTTTATTAACAAAGTGAGTATGGTTTCTAAGCTACAATTAATCCTTGCAATGGATTGGTAGTATCAACTCAAATTTGTCCCCAGAGACGTTGGTTGTGTTTCTATTGTCCATACCCCATATTAATATTAGATGTTTGAAAAAAAGGTCCAAAAAACCAAATTGGCTGATAAGTTACTACTATTATTATAATGGATTTAACAATTCCGCCAATTTTTCAACCGTTGATCCAAACGATTGTTGCTGTGTTAGCCTATGTACTTATAGTCTTGCCTTTGAACATCATTTTTTTTATTTTGGATGTTGGTAAATATTTGATTAATTTATTTGGTAATAAATCAAGACAAGAAATTCCAACTCCAAAAGTAGTTCTTATTACTGGCGCAAGGTTTGTTCATTATATAAATTTTTTTCTTTCAGAAATATATATCCAATGTTTTGATATATTTAATATTTATAGCACTGGTATTGGTGCTGCTTTTGCAGTTGAATATGCGGCACCTGGAGTGACTTTAGGTTTATTGGGTAGAAATGAAGGTACATTATATTAGCATTAGTAGTAGTAATAATAATAACAACAATAATGTTCTATATATAGTACGATTAAATGAAGTAGCAGAACGTTGCAAAGAAAAAGGTGCAAATTGTGTTTTATTGAAAGTGGATATTTCAAACATTGAAGAATTGAAAAAAAGTTTAGAAAGCTTTGATGATTCCCATCCAATTGAATTGCTGTTTTCAAATGCAGGTATATAACCATTACTATTACTATGTAAACGGAATTATGTAATTTGCGTCATGTCTCTTTATATTTATTTATAATATTCAAAAAACAATATAGCTCAAGCAGGTGCTACTAGAGATAATTTTGATACTATTTCACGGGAAGATGGATGGCAACGAATAATCGATGTCAATTACACTGGTAATATTGCTACTATAATGACAGTTTATAAAAGAATGAAAGGAAGAAAATTTGGTCAAATTGCAGGTAAAAAAAAAATAAACAAATACACTATGAATAAAATACTAGAAATTAAAAATAAAAAAATATACTAATCATAAAAAATAAATAAAAAACTATCACAGTAACATCATCTGTAGTTGGCTTTTTCGGTATGCCAGGTAACTGTTATTATAATGCAACAAAATCAGCATTAACGACATTTTCACAAGATCTTCGTTACATAGCATCTTTTGATAATGTAAAAGTATCTGTGATAGTACCTGGAGCAATAGACACGAATATGTTTCGAGCTGATGTACCTTCTAATAAAATTCATGGGGCTGCTGATCCTAACGATTTGGCCAAAATCGTTAGAAATCAGTTGAATTCTGACACGTTTTGTATTGGCTGGCCTTTCTATCAATATTTAATGTTTTGGGCTATTTCAACTTTTCCTGTTAGAACGAAATTGACTTTTTCTTGGATTTTTGGAAAATTGTTTCAAAAAATTGTTGGGGGTCCCATTACATTGTAATAATGATGCAAATGATGAGATGATATGTCGCCAAAGAAGAAAAAATTTTTTTTTGTACAACAGAGGTTACCAATTTTGTAGATCGCATATTCATGCATCAAAAAGAACCAGTTATTTTAAATCATTTTTAATATTAATTAATTAAATAAATGAGATATTGAAAAAAAAATGATAAAACTCCAAATCATTCTAAAAACAATAATCATCAAAAACGATGTCTAAAGAACAAGAATTAACTACTTCAAGTTTAAGATCTCGACACGTGAGATCTGAATCTAGTTCTACTTCCGGAGAACTCCCTGAAAGAACTAATATTAATAAAACCACAAAAGATATTAACACTAACAGTAGTACAAATCCCCAAAGAACTTCTAGAGCCAAACATCTGCGCAGAAGGCCAAAAGAAGATCCGGAGTCACGTAAACCAAAATTGTAAGCATTTATTTATTTTAAGATAAAGGAATCATACCTTTGAAAATATGTTATTTATCGTATGTTTATAAATTGATCAGAAGTAGAGCACGACTCCCTACTTATGAAAAATTTTACAGCAAAGCTATTTATTTTGGTTTGGTGATAGCAAGGCTAACTGCTGCTTTATATTCAAACGTATCTGATTGTGATGAAGTATGTAGAGAATATTGAGAAAAAAAATTTTTTTAATAAAAAAAATATTATTTATTTATTAATCTTTCTTTATCTTATAGGTTTATAATTATTGGGAACCGACTCATTATTTACAGTACGGTTATGGTATGCAAACATGGGAATATTCACCAACATATGCAATCAGAAGTTGGGCTTATATAAAATTGCATGCAACTATAGCAAATGTTTTTGGATATATATTTAATAATGATAAGGTACCAAAAATTATATTTTAAAAATATTTTTTACCTTTAAAATAACATCTTGAATATTTATTTATATTTTATATTTATTTGATAGATTAAAGTTTTTTATGCGATAAGAATATTATTTGCTCTTGCATGCTTAGTTTCTGAAATATTATTTTATCGTACTGCTAAAAATCATCTTGGAACACGTGTTGGACGTGATATCTTATTGTTCTCATTGCTAAGTGTAGGGATGTGGAATGCATCGACAGGTAATTTATAGAAACTTAGCATCTTAAAATATTAATATAGTAATAATAATAATATTACTAATATTAGAAACAACAATAATAATTTGATAACTAAATCACGTGTACACACATACATCTTTACATGTATTTTATTTATATCTGTCAGCTTATCTTCCATCAACTTTTGTAATGTACACAACTATGATAGCATATTCTTATGCTCTTAAACCTGTTACATCTAGTTCTGGTCGTAGAATTTATCATTCAATTTTTTGGATCGGTCTTGGATCACTTTTGGCTTGGCCCTTTGGCGCAGCCATTGGAATCATTCCAGCAATAGAAGAAATTTTACTTCGTACTAATTCATTTAAAGATAAATTGCATCGATTTATTCGCATATTATTTTGTTTCGTTTTTTCTTTAATTGTTATATTAGTAAGTTGATATTTTTTTAATTACTTTTTTTTATTTAAAACTCATTGACATGGATTTAATTTTAATTTTTTTTGGGGGGGGGCAAAAATAGGTTCCTATTATAATCTTTGATTACTTTTATTATCGAAAGTTTACTGTTGTTCCTTGGAATATTATTAGCTATAATGTTTTTGGTGATAAAGATCGAGGACCTACCCTTTATGGAACCGAACCTTGGAGTTATTATTTTATTAACGGATTTTTGAATTTCAATTTAATTTTCATAGTGGCGATTATTAGTATACCTGGATTGGTAAGTTGCGAGTAAAAAAAATTTTATCAGTATGTTTGCATACTACCCGTTAAGAAATCTAATGTTATCTTTTTTTTTTCACAATAAAATTCAATTAGATGATAACTTTTCTTGTTAATCCTGACCGTGTTTGTTCAACATCTCCAACAGCTGGTCCCGTATTTGCTTATCTTTTCCTACTTTTTAGACTTGTACCTCTTTATTTTTGGCTTCTTTTATTGACATTACAACCTCATAAAGAAGAGAGATTTTTATATGTAATCTATCCATTGATATGTTTCAATGGTTCGGTATCAATATTTTTGATTAAGGGATGGATTGATCTCATGATAATGTATTTCTCTAATGGCAACTTATATATTGCTGTAAGTATTTATTAATTAATTATATACTTATATGATTTCTTTCATCGAAAGAAACTATTCACTAACTTATTTATTAATTATCATGCAAACAAAATCAGCTTACCAAAAGGTATATTTTGAATACTTTGACAATTTGTTTTCTCATCATAACTGGTGCCATGTCATTGTCAAGAACTTATGCTTTGCACACAAATTATCATGCACCTATGGAAATTTATAAGCATTTATATTATAATGAAATTCCTAAAGTTTTAGCGGAAGAAGGTCCTATTAATCATCAAGGAACCATCAATCTTTGTTTAGGAAAAGAATGGTATAGATTTCCAAGTCATTATTTCTTGCCAGATAGAGTTCGATTAAGGTTTTTGAAGTCTGATTTTAAAGGACAACTACCCAAATACTTTTTGGAAAGTTATACTGTTGACGATGATGGCATCACGAGATATAATAACTCTCGTGATGGTACATGGAAGATCCAAGAAGGGTTTAATGACAGGAATTTGGAAGAGACAGATCGTTATGTAAGTAAAATCATTATTTTTATGAATTGAATGGTTTTAATTATGAGATAATTAATGTAAATATCTTGATTTTTGGTAGGTTCCTATACAAAATTGTGGTTATATTATTGATTATAATGCTGATCGTTCTGTTGATGATCAAGTTTCAGAAAATGAACCGAATTATGTCGAGAGAACTGATCAGTGGAGTAAAGTGATATGCATGCCTTTCTTAGATGCAAAAAATTCAAATAGAATCTCTAGATCTTTTTATTTTCCTTCTTTTATAACGAAAAGGCTTAAAACGATTCTAAGCTATGTCCCAGCTAAATTAATTTCACAAAATACAGTTGATAATTTGGGTGATTTGAAATGGGGAGAATATTGTTTATTGAAGAGAATTGCTGAAGAAGGTGCGTGTAATTAATTTATTTATTTTTTTACAAGTATTAATTTTTTTTACTAAAATTATATAAATATAAAATATAGATCAACCAAATTCTAAACCATCAGAAATTACTAACGGTAAAAAAGAAAATGTAGTAGGATTTTTCAGGGAATGGTATAATTTTATTCTTAGCAAGATGTAAATAAAATTTTCTTTAACTTCTTTCTTTATTTTTTATTTTACTAGTTTTTCTTCATTTTTTTATTATTGTAAATATAATTTTTTATATGATATAATATATAGATAGACTTTTTTTTTTATTAAATTTGATTTTATTTTTTGATTTTATTATAAGAAATTGGTTTATTTTCTTAATGACTATATAAACTACCTGTTTTATTTCCTGAGTTAGAGATACAAATAATTCTTGGAACAAATAGTTCTTTGAATCTGCTTTAGATGATTTTATGATCCCTGATTATTGATTGATTGAAAATTCAATCATAGTTCTTGAACAAAATATCACAAATATTGCCAAATAAACTATATACCAAATGTTTAATATTGAATAAATAATAAATGAATTAGATAATAATTTTCTATTTGCATGTCATTAATTTAAAAAATTTTTCTTTATAAAAAACTTTAGAGGTGGCGTAGATTTTTTTTACCGATCATTTATATGAAATTTCCCCCCGCGAATTACTAAACATATTTGCTGAACTTTCTGGAGCATAAAATTATAATTACATGATATTATGGGGCTCGACGTAAACTTGCAAATCGCGTCAGAAAAAAACTTCCTACCAATGATCGATGTATGACACAACTTTTTAACATTTCTGACCAAGGCTATTATTTTGACGATTTATGCAAGTAAAAACCCTTGATATAATAAAAAAACCACTTGACGTAAGTTAAAACACTCGATGAAAGTAAAACCACTTGATACAAATAGCATGTAAAAAAATGATAATTAATTTTTTGACATTGGCTCAAATTTTTTGTCAATGTATTATTTATTATTATTATTAGTATATCATCCAGATTGGTAAGTTAAAATAGCAAATATTAATAAAATTAAATAAAATATAATTTGTTTCTTTTTTAAAATCATAATTTTTAAAAAATCGTGTTCTCTTGCATGTTAATAAAATTACCAGCATCTGGAAACTTGGTGTAGGTCGATCACTTGACTCAATCAGGTGACTTTTAACGCAATTGAGTCATATAAATAAATAATCGAGTCGGACGCAATTAAAACATTGTAACACCAAATCCTATAATAAAATAAAATAATAATAATAATAATAAGCTAACTTGTAATCCGTTAACACGTTATTAATAAATAATATTAATATTGAAAAGCCCCAATTATTGTCGTAATTAATTTTTTCCCAGAAACAATTTTGGCAAACAACTATACCATACTTTGATCATCAAAGTGTAATTATAAAATAAGGGTAAACTTTGTGTACGGTTTAAACAGTTATCAAATTTTCCAAGACAGCAAAAGGCTATTATACAGTTTAAAAAGCATACTATAATCCTAATTCAAAAAGTTTATTATTTATTATAATAGCAAAGAAATACAATATAATAATATAAATGTATTTAATCAAAAATTACAATTTTTTTTAATTATTGACTTTTGATAAATTCAAGTGACTTGTTGGCATGACCTTGAAAATCTAATTGAGAATTATAAACATCTTTGATAATACCCTCTTTATCAATTAAAAATGTTGCACGGCCAGGTAATAATCCTAAAGTTTTTGGAACCTAGAAAAAAAAATTTACAAACATGTCATGTACAATAAAAATAAACAAATAAAAATAAATAAATAAATGCTAATTAATTACCTCAAATGCCCTTCTTGCTTCACCATTTGGGTCAGATAATAAAGAGAATTGTAAATTTTGTTTCTTTGCAAAATTTTTATGTTTCTCTACTGTATCTGAGGAAATACCAAATACAGTTGCTCCTGCTTCTGAAAATTGATCATAGGAGTCACGAAAACTACATACCTACAACAACAACAACAGCAGCAGCAGCAATTTGAAAATTAAATAAATCATAATTGACTTGATTGAAATATGAAAAAAAAAATTTAATAAATTACCTCTCGAGTACAACCATAAGTTTCATCTTGAGGATAAAAAAATATAATACAAGGTTTTTGATTTCCAATATAAGAATTCAATTCAACACTTTCGCCCTCTTGATTTTTTAAAACAAGATTTTTTGGTGCATGTTTATCAATAAGTGGATGGCTTTTACTTGACATTATGACATTCGTTGTAGTTATTGTTCTAATAATCGATGATATTGAAAATGATGATAAATTATTATTATTGTAGTTATTATAATGAAAATACTGTTGAAATCTTGTGTTATTGCTAATATGACTACTATTTATATTACTTAAAATTAGAAATGAATTTGAAGAATGAATGAAACAACTATTTTTTATTGTGATCCTTGTAAAAAAATTCATTAAAAAATATTCTCATGAAATTGATTAGTAATAATAATAGTAATAATAGTAATGAAACAAATTCGTGTTACCAAATGTATCCTAATAAATATTTTATATTGGATGGAATTCTCTATATAATAATAAAGTTATAATGGTGTCACTTTTTCTCTATTATTTATTGTTTCAAAAGAGGCGACCGAGTAGGGTGAAATATTTTTAAGTTTTCATATGGTTATTACTTTACGAGGGTGCTGGTTGATAATTTTTAAAGATTCACAAAAACTGTTTTAAATGTGAATTAAACACTGTGATGGATATAATTTTGATATGTATCACATGGACGTTGGTAAGAAACAAAAGAAAAAATTATAAAATTCATCATGAATCTGTCATAAAGGCCGATTTGTTTGATCTACAGATCGAATATTTTTAATTGACGATCCGATCTGTCTATGAATAGTGAGGCAGCGAGGACTAATTGACAAAAAATGGTTAGTACTATAAAATAATGTATTTTTATTTTGCGTTATGGAACAATGCCAAAGAACATCTATACATTTTTTTTTAAGAATATCGAAAAAAAAGGGATTACTCTTGGAGATGTAGAAATGAGAGATTTTTCATATAAAAAAGTTATTTACGTTTGTGTATAATTATTTTTCTAATTGGAATTTCTATTCGAATAAACTTTAAAATAATTTCAAATATCCAAAATCAAATGAACCATAAGTGGTTCATGTGAGGAAAGATAATTAAATCTTTTTGATCAAAAATGCAATAAAATTGTTTGGTCAGGTAATATTTCCTAGTCATTTCATAGATGGTAGAATCGGCAATAATAATGTATATACCATTTGTTGTTAAGGAAATGAATGTATTTTTATGAAATATATTTTTGGGATAGCAAGTATATGTTTTGCACACATTTTCTTTGATCAACGCTCCATTATTAAATTTGAAAATAAATGAATTTAATAAAATTCTAGAAAATTTGGAAGCATGGGATTTTATATAAATAATCATCTCTAGAACTTGAGTTGCGAAATGGCCGTATTTTTTTTTTTTTTTGTTATTATTATGTACGGTTTTGTTTAATTGTTACCTTTGAGATGTCTAATACTTTTTGGTGGAAGTCAAAAAATTTAGTGACATCTAAAAAAAAAAAGATGCGAATCAACTTTACAAAAAAATGGTAATAGTAATTCATAACAAATTTTTTTTATTTAATTTTATTAGATTATCTTTTGTAGTTGTTGAGATATGCTATTCTTCATCAGTGCCATTTTTTTCGCAACACACTGTACATTAAAAAAAATATATTTATGAGTTGTTAATGCTTATCTTCACTGGGTTATTAAATTGGTTTCGGCTTCACCTAATATAACTCTCATTCGATTTTTAGAAGCTTCTAATTGTATCGTTTGTTTATGTCAGTTGCTTTTTTAACATTCAATTTTTTGCTTGACCTTGAAATCCAGCAAGCCAAGAATATTGGAATTGTTTATCATTTCAATTTCTGAATTATTATCCTCGTCGCCATCATTATCATTATCATCAACGACAATTATATTTTTATCATCGTCTATAACATCTCAAAAAAAAAAAGATGGGAAATTGGTTTGATTGTATTTAATCTAAAATTCAAAAATCATCTCAAGCTGAAATAGTTCGGCTTTAGGGGCTTAATTTCAGGTTCATGTATACCCTCTACCATCTATATTTTCCTTGTTTACATTTGTTTCAGAAGTGGAAGATAATCTTTCATTCTTTCTAACAAAACAATATCAGTTGGTGAAAAAACTATCAAGTTTTTATGGCACCGTCCACATTTCTGTTCGAAAAAAACGTTACTATTACAACATTATATTTCTATCAATTGTGCGAAACATCAATTAAAAACGCCTGATCAAAAAAGAATTTATCTTGGAGATCAAGGTATAGTATAAACAATTCCGAAATCCTGCGAATAAATCTTTTGAAGAGGTTTAGCGATTTTTATTTTAAATTGTCAAACTAGTAAAATTCAATCTAATTACAGAAAATCACTAAAGTTTAAATAACTACCAAAGTAGATATTTATGTAGATCATTATATTTCATACACGAAAAAGATTTAATCCATTGTGATAGTGGCTGCTATATTACAGATCTGGGATTATGTGGCCCAATTGATGATAAATTATCAAATAAATTTTTGGATATCTCGCACCAGAAGTTCTTCAAGGAGGATGAAATAACAAAAGAATCCGATGTGATGTGGGGAATATTTCCTGGGCATCATCATTTGATGACAAAACTCATACATGATGCTTTTTTAATTTTGGACATATGGAACCAAAACCTAAGACCAGACAAGTTTGTAAAGAATGATGGAAAAGTGTTGGGATGCTAATCCAAAGACCAAATATTAAAGAGCTTTAATTTTTTTTACTAGCAATTGTTTAACAGTGAACAATGACAATACAAGTAATTTTAATATTAATAATAATGATTATAAAAAAGATAAGAATCACATCCATTGGCGTATCATCATACAAGTAGGATATAGTATGATGAGATTGCCAAATCAAACTTAATCTTAATTCCGAAATAAAGGCATGATTGGAAATAATTATTTGTCAATTTATAAAGATGTTTTTATTAAATTAATCTTAGATTCTAATAAGGAGGGTAAGGAAAAAGGCATTGAGGTTTTGAGGTTGATAAATTGGGTGAATTGTCGATTGATGCTTAAATATTTTATTTGAATAAAATTTCTATCCGTAGTGTTGTAAAAAATACAGTGGTGAGTGGATTTATTTATTCGTCAATTTTATATTTTATTCAATAAAATATGAGATTTTATTACAATTAAACAATTTGGCCAATTTGCTAAATTTTGATCCGTGGTATTAATGTTCACTTTGTCTGGTTTTGTTGCAGCACACCCCGTATAAATGAATCATAGAAACTAATTCGTTAAAAAAAAACTAAGCTTCAATATTACAAGAAAGCAATTGAATGCTTTTCAAGGTATAAATTCCCTTTAATATGTAATGATCCTATCATCTTCACCAAAACATCTAATTTTCATGTCACCATCCCAACTAATAACAGGTTCATGTTTTTTGAACGGTGCTACCAAACTATTCCAAAGTACTTTTGAGAGGTATATATGAGTTTTTTCACTAGTAAAAATCATTAAAATTATTTTTAATAAATTTAATGCGAGTAAAAAAGAAACTTTTGAAATTAAAAAAAAAAATAATAATAAAAATAAAAACCCTACCTTGGATGAAAACAGTCAATGTTACTTAATCCATCAATTGGAAAAGTGGTTAAATTAAAAACAAATCGATTCTGAACAATAGCAAAATCATTTCTTTTTATTTTAGAATAATCAGCAACTACATTTTGTAAAATTTTATTGTATTTTACTGCTAAATCATCCATGATTTTTCGATTTCGAGCACCAATTTCACCTTTTTTTATTAAAAAAAAAAAAAAAAAAAAGAAAAGCTTTAATTATTCTTTTTTCAAATAATAATAATAATAATAACAATTTTTATAATTATATTTATTTACCTGGAGAAAATGCACAAGTACACTCAAAATTTATATAAGGAACATCGTACCATTTACAATATTTTTGTCCGCGCGTTACATCGTAAACTTGAGATACATTGGACACGCCCATTATATTTACTATTGTATTTGGTATTTTATTCATAATGTTGTCAAGTGTGTCACGTATATTTTTTTCAAATTTTTCAGGTGATGTATTCTTATTATTACAGCTTTGACACAAATCATTATTTCCAATAAATAAATTTAAAAACTGATAATTTATAATTATTAATATATGGTATAATATTATTATTAGAAAAAAAAACACGAATATATATACTGTATATATTTATTATGAATTAATTAATTACTTTAAACTTTCCATCAACATGTCTTGATCCTTTACGAGCTTTTTCAAGATTAAGTTGTAATAAAAGGTAATTAACTTGTCTACGAAGATTATCAGCCATTGCACCAGACTGTGCACCATTAAGACGATCTTGTGAAGGTCTGTATTGATATGGCAAACAAAACAAACCTAATCACAAATAAATAAATCATTTAATTCAATTAATCCAACTAACAAGCAAAATAATATATATAATAAAAATAATAAATTAAATAAATTAAATGCCTTGACATATATGAGCAAAATGATCTCCTAAAGATGCTCCAATCAAACCATCTCTAGAATAATAATTCAAAAATCTTGCCAAGGTAGTTGCATTTTCATCACCGCCAATTGCAAAACTCAAGCCACGATTCTCATATAAATCTCTATGATCAAATGTTTGTAAAGATTCATTGTAATCACCATTATTATTATTTAAAAAAATTTTCTGTTGTTGCTGCTTTTCCTTTTTAATTTGTTTTTTATGTTTTTTATTAGTTGATCTCGTTAATGATTCTCCTTCCTCGTTTTTACCCCAGTTGCGCTGACCTTTTGCAGCAAATGCTGCTGTGATACTATCGCCTAATGCCATTATATAAGTGATATCGTCTGCTCTCAAATCATGAATTGTCAAATTTTCAACATCACGTGGCGATAGAGGTGGACATTCTTCAATTGTATCCACATACTTTACTAAATTTGAATGTGAGATGATCTTTAATGAAGAAGTGATGTCAACTACTGCTGTTGAATTTGTTTGACATTCTTCTAATGTAGGCATTGTGAAAATGAATAAAGAATAAACTGTTGCAACAAAAAAAACTGAAGCCAAACATATTGTCCATATGTTTGAATTATCCATTTTTTTAGTTTTTTTTTTTCTTGAGAAAAATAGGAAAATCAAGTGTATTTTATACTAAAATAATTGTGATTGTTTGTGTCAATATCATGATTTTGCATAACTACGAAGGTACACAAATATAAATCCAATTTGGGATTTATTATTATTTAAAAAACTAGTTTTTGAACCTGATTTTTAAATTTAATAATTCTATAACAAGGCTTTTTTGTTTACGCCACCAGTTGTGCAATAATTCTTATTGTGGTACAAGTTTGAACTTTCCCACCAATAACGTGGATGCTAGATGTTAAATTCTTCTGTCTCATAAAAATATGTCACTCATGATTCTACAGCATTAACATCCCGATTCCAGATTCTGATTTTTGCTGGCTTTGACAGCATAGAATCATTGTTGTTGATCAAAACTGCTCATAATATTTGAACATATTTTGAGGTGTTATATTTCATCAATCAAGATCACTGTGCACCTTTTTGATAGTTCTCTTGAATTCTTTATTAAGACTAGGAGGTTTTCTCAGCATGTTTATGAAAATTCCGCACCTCTGAATGCGACTATTGTAACAAGCTTTTTATCAATCATGACATTAGATACCCGTCTTTTGTTTGTTGATATGTGATTTTAAACGTAAACAGCACCAGTGACGTTCTGCATAGAATTGAAGAACTTGACCAAAATATCCAAGAACATACCAAAGATGATCAATCCACAATACTCATAACATTGATAGCAGCAGATCTTTGAAACTAATTTAATGAAACTACTTCTTTTGTTAAAAATATACAAAGATTAACGTTTATTCTTCAAGTAAAAACGCAACATAACAAAATAAAACAACATGCATACCTAGTTTGTATTCCACCCATCATGTCCAAAAAATAACACTTTTTGAAGACATACTTAAAATGATTTAGTGACAAATGTGACATTTACTAAACCTTCTTGGACCATGACTCTCATTTTGATCTTGCATGTTTGAACCCTGCAAGAGTATAATGTTCATTATTAGTACATCTAATAACTTTATCTTCTTCACTCACATAGCTACAGATAATTATTTTCTAGATTAATGAATGTGCTTATAATCATTATTTTCATCAACCTTTTCACTTACTTCTTTTTGTAAAGAAACTTGTACAAAGAGTCCATCAGTTTGAATGTAAAAGACAAGCCGTCCTATTTCTGGTGGCACCATTTTAAATATTAAAAGCAATGTTCCTAAATTCACCAATGTTCTTTTATCAATTGACCTAAACAGCGAATGTTAAGCATTTGTATCAATGCCAATATTCTTCGCTTTATGAGAACGTTCTGGAAGAAGAAAAGGCAAAGTCCTTGTTCTCAATTGTGCTTCTTGAAAGTGTCAGGGACTATTGCTTTCTCTCTGATTTTTTAATCATGTGTAGAAAATCTTTGTAGTATGCTTTTCTGCATCAGATCTTAATGGCTATGGTTGATTTTTCTCATGCAAGTTGGACAAGGATATTCTAATATTTAAAAAATTTATTACAAGTGTCAAGCATTATTAATTCAAAAAAATTATAGGATGCTAGAGATAGCGGTAAGTAATATTTACTTGATTTTTTTTGCTTGCTTTTTTTTAAAATCTTTGTTTGCTTTTCTTTAGCCGCACTTTTAAATGATTCTGCATATGGTATATCATTTGTTTAACAAAAAAAAAATAATATTTAATCAAAATTCTAAAATATTTAATCATGAAAACCATATATATACTATTTTTTTAATGAGAATCTCTTTCATTATTATCAGCTTTTGTTTGATTTTGATTTTCTGGCATTGATATATATTAACATTAGAAAAAATATTCTGGTTGCAATGGGAATTGATGTGAGTTTGATTGAAAATTTATAACAAATAAAACAAAGTTGACGAAATTTTTTTTTGAAATGATTCAAGTGTTTTTTGAAAACAGATTTTAAGTTTAAAGAGTTGATTGAAAATTGTTAGAGTGAGAGTGTGAATGTGAGAGAGTTTTGAAGATGGTTTTTGGATTTGATTGTTGTTTAAAATGGGTTTTTTTGACTTTTAAAAAATATTCGAATAAAATTTCCTTGCTCTTGTAGTAAAAACTAATTCTATGGCAAATGCTTTTGTCACACATAAAAGAGTATGGTTGTAGAGAAAACGATTGCTGACACCAAAGAGAGGAAAAATGTAAAAGAATAAAACCTTTTTTGAACTCATTACAAAAAAATCTTAATAAAAGTTCAAGGTGATGATGTAGAAGATATATATAATAAATTATTTATGACTAAAAATAATTACTAAGTCTTACCTCTTAAAATAAATATTAATACTATTAGCATTTTTTTATGTCAAAAAAGTGATTGAATGCTTTAATATGAATATTGGATGTATTGAGTAAGGTATTTTTTTATAGTGCTCAAATTTCCTTTTTTTTCGCATTAGGTCAGAAAATGCATGATTAAGGGAGCTAACTAACCTCCTTGTGGTTCAAAATTCGCGTAACAAATTTTTAAAAGTTTTTTTTTGAGAACCCCTCACTACTATTACTATTACACGGGAATGACAGTTGAGTATCAAAACGTAAATTGATATGGCACTTAATCTATATACTTTATATAATATATATAACAGATAACAATAATGACTGCTCTTCACAATTTATGATTAATTATAAGTTCATTCATATTAATAATTTGAAAAATATCATAGTTAAAAGAATGCAATGTCTATAAAAACTCGACTAAGGCATTCCAACTATGTACGAGTTGCCTTCAAATTCACTGTGAAATATTCTTATAGCATTTAATAATATTTATCGTTTCCGTTAATTTTCTTGATTGGGAAGATTGAGTTTGTAATTGTTGCTCGCCCAATGTTTTTTTAACTGATGTTTTGGCAGCAAGGAGCTAGCTATATATAGATAGGTTTTTTGAGTTGTACTATATAGCCATTTTTATTTTTCATTGGACAAAAAAAGATTTGTAATGGAATTGAACAAATAAAATTATCTTAAATGGATCAAGATACAAAAGAAACAATTACTAAATATCTTGAAGAAAATATATCCAATATACAATTCAAAACTTTAAGACCTGGTGAAGTTGAAGCAAGCGATGATGAAAAAATTGAAATAATGCGCAAAACTTTGGAAGATCCTGCTTTGTTTCTTTCGAAATGGGGAAAATATTTGCCGGCAGATTTATTATCAAAGTTTGAGACCTTTAGAAGTAGTACCTTTGTGTTTGTTGCTAAAATTCTTTTTTTTTAAGTTAGTTAATTTATTGAATTAGAAAAAAAAAATTTGTATAGCACACATCAAAAATTATGAAAATTATTTTTTTTAATAGCGAATTTATAATTTGTAAATTGTAATTGACAAATTATAATATTAACTAATAACACACACACACACACACACATATATAGATGATTATGAAGTGAATTGGTATTTAAGCCAATTAGAAAATGATCAGAGACAAGAACAAATATTACTAGCTTCAAAAAATCTTGAGCCTAAAAATCGTCGTAACAAAAAAATACTTAATCGTCGATATCAGTATCTGATTAAAAATCTTGATAATACAGAATATCTTAGTGATGAGTCAATAGAATCGAGAGAACCATTACTATATGAAGATTATGTTGGGAAATATATACCAAATGATGAAAGATATCCACCTTTTGATCAAAATATTAGTTTAGTAGATAGAATGCTATATAATATTGGTAATTAAATCGTTATTGTTATTATTTTTATTAATAACTATCATTGTAGATAGGAATTAAAGATTTTCTTTTTAATGAATAGATCTAAGTTATATACAAAATAGATTAATTGAAGAAAAAATAATACAAGAAGAGCAGTTTCAGGAAGAAGAAGATGATGATGAATATGAAGAAGAAGAAAAGCGTGAAAAAGAGGAACGTGAAAAAGAGAAAAAGGAGTTGAACGGAAGCCAAGAAAATCTTAACCAAAAAATTATAGATAATACTAATGATAATGATGGTGGTACAATTCTAAATGCTACAGAAACTATAACTGTCAATAATACTACCGTCTCTACAACTACAGAGACAGCAAACATAGTGCCTGACCAACAAATCATAATATCTGACGAAGAAAGACAACAACTCAGAAACGAACTTGTGGATATAATGAGAAACAAATTCTTAAGTGGAAATGATGTTAGTAGTTTATGATAATAAATATTGTTCTTGTTTATTAGATCAATATTTTTATTAAAAAAAACTATATCTATACAAATAAATATATATTTATTTAGCCTGATTTTGACTACAATAGCGTGGACTTTAATGAAGAGTATGATGATATAAAAACTGAAGAACAAGGAATCCAAGGTATCAATTAATCATATTAATTAATTAACAATTTATTATGTTAAATATTAATTTTTAATAATTAATTTTTTTATTTAAAAAAAGATCAATATTTTGATACAGGTAAATTTCAGATTAATTATTTTTATTTACTTTTTTAATTTGACTAAATAAATAAATAAATCTAGAAGAGCCTGATGAAAAACAAGTTAGTACTGATACTGGTGTTTTGGATTATTAAATAATATTCTTTCTTACTAGTAATCAAGCAAATAAATAAACAATTATAATTTATGATTATATTACATAAAAAAAAATTTGATATTTTTTCATTGTTCCGATTTACCCATGGATTATTTTTGCAAGCAAATAATTAATTAAACACATGTAAGAAAAAAGTAATTTTGTTCGATAATTGACTTGATAACCAATCTTTTGCTTCAAATTTTTAATTCAAAGATAATGGTTCATATGTGCTTGTAATGCTGATTTACGGTCAAATGATTTGGTGCATCCCGAATGTCCACATTTGAAATATTTTTTTCTAGATGAGCTGTCATATGTCTTTGTAATGAATCATGATATGAATAAATTTTTGGAACATCCCAGATATTTGCATCTTCCAATATGAGTTCTACTATGTTTAACAGGATTAATTCTATTTATGAAGGTTATATTGCAACCTGGAATTTTGTTAAAGTTTTTGTCATTTTGATCTGTGATATTGTGACTGTAGTTGTTGTTATCTCTGTTATTGTAATCATTGTCAGTAGACATGTCAATGGCTGTAGTAATATCATGATTTGACATTGTTAGATCATTGTCTTTTTCATTGAAGTTATTTCCATTATCATCTTCACCTTCATTACTACAAGTACAATAATCATCTGTTTTTTTTTGATACTTATATGGAACCAACAATATATTATACATACAAGAACAATAAAATAAATTAAATTAATGTCATTTTTTCTTTAAACTACTATTTGAAAATGAGAATATAGACATTCAATATGTACACTTTTGCATTCGGATCGACTCAGAGCTTTAGCTACAAGAAAATATTAATAACTTGAACCTAGAAAATCCATCAAATGCAGGAAATTTCATCCATATTGATGATTAAATACCGGTAAGAGAATTCACTGATGACCAAATTATAGAGGCAGTAATCCAAGAAACAGTAACTGAAATTAATGATCTGGAAGAGGAGGAAGCAGTTATTTCTAATAGGGAAGTATTAGGAAAAATTGTAAAAATACACCTGTCATTTTTAATATTAAAATGGAAGATTTAATTCTGTAAAAGAAAACTTAAAAATTAATTTAGGAGTCTGCAACAAGTTACTTTGGATTGTTGTATTAATATATTATTAAATAAATAAATACATAAAAACTCATTCATAAATAATGATGTTCTGATTTTTGATACGTGTAACATTAACTCACGAGTACTCACGTGTACTCATGAGTACACTAATCGGTTATGGGCCTTGTCAAAATTAATTGTAACAAAAAACCCACCGTGGCGAGGTTTTACCGATTCCTTTTTTAAACAAAAATGATACACCAAATTAAATTGATTTGCAAAATAAAAAATAACACTTCTTTTTCACTATTTTAAAAAATTGTTTCCATCAAAATGTCAACAATATTTTCATCCTCAGGAATTATAGATAAATTATTTAACAACCTTATTGGTTCTAACAATGATGCCTTACCATTAAGATATATTAGCAAACTTGTGAATGACTTGACAGAATTGTTAAATGGATCCGATTTTTATGATATAGAAATTAGAATTGGAAAAGGCCAGGATATGAAGATTTTCAAAGCTCATTCTGCAATTTTGCAAACAAGATCTTCATATTTTAAAACTGCTTTGTCAAATAATTGGATTAAAAAATCTGATGATGGTAACATTATTTTATTTCAAAAAGAAAACATATTTCCAAATATATTTGAGATTCTTTTAAAGTAAGATTGTTTAATTTTGATTAATTAATTATGAATGGTTATAAAAAAAAAAACATTAATTTTTGTTTTTCTTTTAAAAGGTATATTTACTCTGGAGTTATGAGTATAGATAATTTGGGACCAGAAGAGATCCTTGAACTTCTTGAAGCATGTGATGAATTAGATTTTAATGAATTAATTGAAGATTTACAAAATTACTTGATCATTGAAAAAAAAGAATGGGTTCAACAGAATTTAATTTACATTCATCAATTTTCATTACATCACCAATCATTCAATTTGCTTCAAGATTATTTTAATGAATTAATTCATGACAATCCTCAGTTATTTTTGAAATCTGATGATTTCAAAGATATTGACAAATCTGTGCTCATGTCTGTATTGGAAAAAGATAATATGGAATTAAAAGAGATTGATATTTGGGACTGTGTTATTCAATGGGGAATAGGTCAAAATGAAGAATTAGAAAAGGACATTTCCAAATGGGAGAAGGAGGATTTTGCCATGTTGAAAAATACATTGAAAGATGTTATTCCATTAATAAGATTCGAGGAAATTTCATCAACTGATTTTCATGATAAAATTAAGCCATTTAGTAGTTCTTTTGATAAAGAAATTTATAAAGAAATCCTTCGATCATATCTTAATGGTAAATGGCAGCCAAGGTTAATGCTTCAAAAAGGCCCAAGAACAAAAGGAGGAGAGTTATTGAATTTAAAAAAGAAATTTTTAATTTCCAGCTGGGTTGATCAAAAAAAAGACCCATATAATGATCCAAATAATTTACCTTATGAATTTAAATTAATTTTTCAAGGAACTCGAGATGGATTTTCTAGAACTGTTTTTGAGGATAAATGTTACAATACAGAACAAACTGTGACTCTTATGAAAATCAAAAAAACAGGAGAATTAGTTGGTGGCTATAATCCAGTTGGCTGGAATATTGAAAAGAAACATCCAGACGAAGAATATTCTATTGTAACAAACAAAAGTTTTATTTTCAAGATTGATGAAAACCGAATAAATGATTCGATATTAAGTAGAGTCAAAGATCATGAAAATGCAATAATTTATTGTAACAAGACTTATGATTTTACTCGTGACAATATAAAATTTAAAGCAATTAATTTTAGTTTTAATGAGTTGCAATTACGAATTAGTGCTAATGATAAACCTTATTGTTATTATCGTTTTAAAGATGATTGTCATGATTCTTATGAAAATGATTTGAATTTTATAGAAAAAAACAAAGAACTTAACTTATTAAGAGAATGTGAAGTTTATAAATTAATAAGGAAAGATTAATTATTTTTAATTAATTCATGATGGATTTTAACACAAAAAAAAATAAACTAATTTAATAGTGTATAGGAAAAAAGATGATCAATAATGATTTTTTTTTATTGTTAATAGTTGCCTCACGAGCTCATATAACAATTATTATTAATTAGCAAATATTATGGACACGAGAACAAATCATAAATGTAATCCTTTTAAAAAATCCAAAGCCATTATACTAAAATCTTTGTTATTATGTATTATGTAGACAGATTTTTATGCACTCCAGTTTTATGCTTGTCAAGAGCAAATTTACGACTAAATTTCTTTTCACATCCATCTGTATCACATTTGTAATTTCTGATTCCAAGGTGAGCTCTTATGTGTTGTAATAAAATATCTTTACGATAAAAACTTCTTGTACATCCAGCATAATCGCACCTAAATTTTCTTTCACCATGAATTACACCATGTTGGCTAAACGATTTTCTAGACCTGAAAGACTTGCAACAACCAGGAAATGTGCAAGCATATACGGAATTACTTTGATCCATGGTATCATTGTTGTTATTGTTGTTAGTAGCAACAGCAATATTTTGATTCAACATCATCAGGTCATTGTCATGAAGATTTTCATTACCAATTTTTGAATATTTATTTAAATCTTTTATCTCAGGATTACTACTTTGATCTATGGTATTATAATTGTTGTAGTTGTTGTTGTTATTGTTGTTAGTAGCAACAACAACACTATGACTACTTTGATCTATGGTATTATAGTTGTTGTAATTATTGTTGGTGTTGTTAATAGCAACAGCAACGTTTTGATTCAACATCATCAAGTCATTTTCATGAGTACTTTCATTGCCAATTTCTAGATATTTACGGTTTAAATCTTCTATTTCTAGATGATTACTTTGATCTATGGTATTACAGTTGTTGTAATTATTGTTAGTGTTGTTAGTAGCAATAGTAACGTTTTGATTCAACATCATCAAGTCATTGCCATTAACATTTTCGTCACCAATTTGTGGATAATTACATTTTAAATCTTTTATTTCAAGATGGCCACTTATCGTATGATTTTGTAAAGCATCTTTACATGCGTATGTTTTGCCACATCCTGGATATTCACAATTAAAATTTTTTATTTCATGTTGAGATTTTGTGTGTTTCAGTAAACTGTATTTTCGAGTAAATGTTTGTCCGCATCCTGGATATTCGCACATGCTTTTTATTCCAAGATGTACAATTTTGATGTGTTGTAACAAATTGTATTTTTTATTAAATGCTTGTTCACATCCTGGATATTCACACTTTATATTTTTTATTTTAAAATGAACAGAGTTTGTGTGTTGGACCAAGTACCATTTACTATGAAATGATTTACCGCATTCTGGATATTCACATTTAAAATTTTTTTCGCCGTGTATTTTGCTATGAGCTTTAAGTTTTTGCATAGACTCGAAAGTCTTACCACAACCTGGGATTTGACAAAAAATTACATTGTTATTTTGATCTGCGATATTATTATTATTATTGCTATTATTGCTGTAGTAGTAGTTGTCGTTGTTGTTACTATAAGAATTTGCAGGATATGTATTAATTGTTGTAGTAGGAGTAGCAATAGAAGATGAGGGCTCGTTACTAGTGACAATACTGTATTTCTTGAGAATATTTTGATTTAACATAAGGTCATCATCACTCTCATTGTCGTTATCATAATCACAACCACTAACTTCATCACTAATGCCATCATCACTATCATCGTCATAATCATCATCTTCATCGTCATAATAATCATTATAATCATCATCACCGTCGTCATTATTATCATCATGATATTTTTCCAAGATTTTATTAATTTTATCAACATCTTATATAACAACGGAAATATCAATTTTTTTAATAAATAAACAAATAAAAAATAAAATAAACGCGTAACGAACATGAATCAATTAATACTTCTTTGAAATACCTTTTAGAAAGTTTCTAATGCTTGGATATTTTTTGATTTTTTTTGAAAATTTTATATGTAGGTTTAGATTAATTTCCATTATTTTGAAGATGATTGAAACAAGAGAATATGAGATATCACATATAATGATAATGGGATATAATTGGATAATCGCGCGCGCACGGGGTCAATCAGTCATTAATAATGAAAACAACAAATAATTGTAATAAAAATATGTAATCAATTATATTTTTATTTCTTCACTAATTGTTAATATTTTTATTGGCATGTAAATAATGGATGCTGGTAAAATGAAAAAAATCACAATGATTATAATGAAGATAGAAATACATCAGTGATAATAACAATGACAGTGATAAAGATATCGACACCAAAGTTGGCTGTAAAGACAATGATGGTAGTAATGGTAGGTATTCTTGATGATGAAGCTAGTGATAGCAGTATTGGTGTTAATGGTAATGATAATGAAATCGATGATGATGACAGTGATAGTGATGACAATGATGACAGCAATAGTGAAAATAGTAATGACAGTGATGGTCATGAAAATAATGATGGTTGGTATGATAGTTATGACAGTGGTAGTGACGAAAATAGCCTGATGTTAAATATTAAGAAATATATAGCAGTAATACTTGTTCTTCTCCAGTTGCTACTCTTATTGCCACTAACAACACTTACAACAAAAACAGCAATAATAATGATGACAGTCATAATATCACAGGTCAAATTGAAGACTTATCCTTTAGAAGTTTACTTGAACATCATAATATGATTCACCATGGAAAAGAATTAAGTGCGAATATCCAGGATGCGCTAAGGTATATTCCCGTAAAGGTGGATCACTACTCCACACAATAACTCACTATGGAATAAAAAATTTAAAGTGCAAATATCCAGAAATTGGTGATAGAATTGATGATGGTGATAATGACCTGATGGTATTTGATCAAAGTAATACTGTTGCTACTCCTACTACTGTTAATATGTCTAATTCCTGCCATTATAGTTGGTAATAATTATTTATAATAGTTCAGATTAAGATGATGATGAACTTTTGCGTTTAGAAGTTTACTTGAAGATCATAGTATGATTCACAATTGAAGATTCTAAGTGCGAATATCTAGGATGCACTAAGTCATATGGATCATAAACGTGATTTAAAAAGTCGCATAATAATTAGTCATAGAACAAAAGATTTAAAGTGTAATATATCCAGAAATCGACGATAAAATTAATGATGGCAACAAAGATTTTGCTTGCATCAAAAATAAAGCCAATCTTAAAAAATATAACTCTTACTGGAAAACGCGAATATGGATGTTTCATTCATGATGATTCATTACAAAGACGCGTAAAATTCATGAAAAAAAATATTTCCAAGTATGAACATTCGAGATGTACCAAATCACATTTATCGTAAATCAGTATTAGTATTACTAACACATATGAACAGTCATCTTGGAATTAAAAATTTTGAATGTGATGTGGCAAAAGATTTGTTACCAGACCTGGGCTTAAGAGACATCAATATAGTCATAAAGATTTGCTTTAATAATAATGTTTATTATAAATTATTTTCTTGATCTAGTTTATATTATGTAACTATGCTTTGACTAATTAACTGACTGACTGACTGACTTATTGATTGATTGATTGATTGATTGATTTCAAAATATCAGGTACAAAAATAATAATTATCAACATTATATTTTATGCATGATGTAAAAATTAAGTATGTGGACAAAGGTCTATTTTTTGATGACTTGGTATAACTAAATGATTTGTCTACATTACTTTAGTTATTCATTTAATTTATCCATTGAAGTTTTATGTTGCAATTGATTTAATTCATAAGGTGAAAAAAAAAAATCTAAACAAATGCTGGTTTTATAAAAGAAATCACACTTATATTATTTAAAAAATGACAGTTTTTTTTTTATAATTGTAAAATATTTTTATCTTTATTTGTGGACAAAATTTTGATTCCATTTTAACAACTCATTAATATCCTTTGCCCAATCTACACCTTCATTAACACGATTTATAGAAGGTATTGGATATGGAGACATTTGCACCTAATTAACCGTCAATCAAAATGATTTTGTTAATTGATTTATTTATCGATTGAATGAATAAATAATTGATGGATTTCTTTTTTATATTCAACATACTTCCAAATATTCTCTATTATTTAACAAACAAATTTCTGTGGCGTCTACAGTCACCTCAGTTGGTGCTCTACTTTCTTCTCCTATCTTTTTTTATTTTAAGTTCAATTTTTTTAAAAAAATATACCAATTTAATAATTAGTTGAAAAAATCAAGAGAATTCATTACTAACCCTCATTTGAATTTTGGATGTTGGTGGTAATATTATAGTTCTAAAAGATAAAGATCTTGGACATATTGGCGTTAGTAAAATATTTTGTACCGAAGGATGTATTATCGGTCCACCTAAATAATAGCAATATGCTGTTATCATCATCATCATCACCATCATCATCATCATTTATTTGTTTTTAGGGAGAATCGATATTAATTACCAGCTGATAAAGAATATGCAGTTGAACCAGTTGGTGTAGCAACGATCAATCCATCTGCCTTTTAAGAAATAAAAAAATTTGATTTTTTTCATTTATTTTTTAAAAGAAGATTTTTTGAAATAAAATGAAATAATAAATGATATATATATTTACAACAGCGTTAGTCAAGTATTGTCCATCAACAAAGCATTCGATATTAGTTAAATGTGGATACCGTCCTCGATGTAAATTTACTTCATTCATTGCTTGCATATCACCTAATAACAAATTAACAAATTAATTGAAATAATTGAAATATTTATGTTATTATTATTAAAAAAAAACTTTTTAATTACTTGATCACCAATTAACAAGTGATAAAACTAACCAATTTCTAATCCACTGGTTCTTTTGATTCTTGTTCCATTTTTAGCCCATACTGAACAAGCAAGTCTCATACGTAACAATAACGACACATCACCTCTAATCACATCATTTAATGCTGTTTGGTAATCTTTTATATCTATTATTATTGTGTATAATAAAATAAATATTAGAGAACATTAATAATTTAGTAAAAAACTTTTTTCTAAAATAAAAGTCAATTAATAATAAATAATTAATCATAATGATCATAGGAATAATAATATACGAAATGGTAATAAAAACCCCAAAGTTCCCATTGAAAATGAAATAATTGGTGGTACACAATGATTAAATAATGATGAAACATGTAGAATTGTCCCATCTCCACCTAATGTAACAACAAAATCTACAGCTCTTGTATATTCATCTTTCCTTCCTATAATAAAGAACATATAAATATAAATATAACATGGATTTTCTCCAAAAAAAAAAAAGATTCTTCTTACCTGGAGGTATAACATATACAAATGGCAATTCCTTTTCAAAATCTTTTGCTACATCAGGCTCAAGTATAACATTGATACTTGGATACCTTTTATTTAACCACCTAAAAAAGCATTAATAAAAAGATCAAATAATAAATGATGAGAAATGAAAAAAAGGTAAACTAATTGCAAAAAAAAAAGAAAAAGAACAACATTACTATTCCCATCAAAGCTTCAGTTGTGGCTTTAGTCATTGGTTTTTTTACTACTAAAACATTCCTAGGAGGTTGAATCCAATTCAATTTATAATTTCCTCTTTTAAAAATAACATAAAATTAAAAAATGAAATTCCTTGACAGAAATTTAAATATCACGAAATAGTTATTCTGCTAACCCATATGTAGAGCCAACTGTTTGTTTTATTCCTGTTGTTGCAAAACCTAAATGTTGCAATGTTTTCGAAACATTTTCTTCCAGATTTATTTCTAATCAATAAAAATTATACTTATAATTATGTTCCTAGCTATAGTTGTGTTATGAGTAATAATCAAACTTATTTTACCTATTTTCTTCTCAACTTGAATTAATGATATTTGAACTTTATCTGGTATATTTGTTGTAAACGCGAATCCTCTTTTGATGATAAATCTATCCAAATGATTTTTATCAAACTTAAAGTTTCTATTTAAAATCTTCGTCTGGTGCATAACTCTTGGAAATGCATTGCTAAACATTTTTATTATAATTATCAAAAATTTACAAAGATCGAATTTTAAATTTTTTTTATATATAGCAATGATGATCAAGATCAATGGACAGAATCTTAAATAGCAAAATTCATGAACAAAAGAATTCTTCCAATCGAAGAAAACGATGAATTGATTAAGGTTCTCTTTTATTCTTTGTAGAAATATGTAAATTAAGAAATTATAAATTTTTTAAGAGACAAAAAAACTTTATAAAAATCCTTTACTGACCATCGACGAGAAGGATTACGGGAGTTAAAGAACAAAGTTGTTAAGAAAAGAAAAAGAAGTCACAGAGATAATAGAATTTCATTTTTTAGCAATTATTTGTTTGGGGATTAAAATAAATAATATTGTGTTATTATTATAAAATTCCGCATTAAACTGAGATTTTGAATATATCGAATATTTTAATGTTAATAGAACAACAGTGTCTCGTGCTATCAAACCGTAAGACAACATTTTGCAAATTCAATGAATGGTCCTTTGATTAAGACTATCTATCGGGAAGAAATTGAACATTTTTCTCAACAAGACAAATCGATTATAACCTGGTTTATTACATCAACATTGTGCTGATATTGGAACAATTGGTGCACAGTCCATTAATAAACAACTTTACAAGTTATGCATTTAATTTTTACAATAATAACTAGAGTTACCTTCCAAAACTCATGAGTTTAGAATTATTCAAATTTAGGAATAGTTTAGAAAATGTCCTAGAGTTTCGAAAGACAACTCTAATCTGAACCCAATGAAAATGTTTCTGGAGAAAGATGATTAACAAAGAAATCAAAGTTTTTTTTACCCTTCTTGGATTTGGATGAAACATGTTTAATATTGCACAAGAAAAACAAAGGTTTGTAATATCAAAATAAACTACTTTTTTATTATTTGTGATGCAATAATTAAAATCCATATATAATTCTGTTAACATACAATTTCTTCTTGTATCTATCAGTACTTGTTAACATTATCACCTTGCAAATAAAGTGTTATATCATCCAACTTATCACGCTTTATAGCAACACTTTTGTAATCATCTGAGTAGAATACATACCAGAAATTTGGGACAAGTTTTTTTACTTTTTTTGAATAATGTTGAAAATCAAGAACAGCCCATTGTTTTAATGGGATATCAGCATACTTGCCACCTTCTTCAAATTGTTTTGCATGTTCTTTTAAACAAGTGCCCTCATGAGTCAGCTCAATTCCCCAACAAAGTTCTCCATCAACATAGAAATCCAAAAATCCTGCAGAGCCAAACACTGCACCAACATCAGCACTTATTGATGTGTTCATTGGAATTACAGTTATAGCAGAACGGTACTATTCCATTTGCCAACTTCTCTCATATAAATATGAATTATCACCATATCCCCTTTCAAATGAATTCTGAAAATTAGATGGACTCATATGTTCAAAGGTTTTTGTAGGTGATGATTCAACATTTAAAGGAGCAGTGAATAGGTAATGACACAGAATAACTCACATTATGGGTGCAGAAAATTGTAGTTGATTAGAGTCAGTCACAGAGAAAAGGCCTATCTTAACAAATTTCTCAACAATAGGATTTGAAGCATAGTTAGCAGAAAAGGGAACATTAGGTTGATTAAGTAGCTTTCCACGAATAAATTTAGATTCTTCCTCAGTTAGTTTACAATCATGAAGCCAGTAAAAAGCATGTGTGGTTGTTATTACACTATCTCATAAACATGTTGAAGCAAGATATTGTAGCATTTCCACTGTTTTTCCATTTTCATGAAATTGTGTGCGTAATATGGATAAAATGAATCGACACAAACCAGGATGTCCACCAGTGAGACTAAAGATTGCTTCCTGAACTTGTTCAGGAATGTTGAAACTTGGGCTACCTAAAATAGCATGTCTCTGAATATAGTTCATTATAAGCCATTTGGTTTCATCCCATGTTAGAAGTAGAGCATTCAGACCAAGTGTATTGCTAATTTGAATAGGTGTTGCTAGATGATAATGACTTGGTTGGTATGTTCCAAGCAAAATTATATGAATATTTTGATGTCTTGATAAAAGTGCCTTCAGAGTACCCCAAAAGAATGGTGTACCATCATTATATATAATCTGTATCTCATCAATGAATGCATAAATAGTCTTTTCCCATTTACTGATTTCTGTCAAAGTATAATGAACTTCATTTTTCCAAAATTTGTCAAATAGGTTTTCATCATGTATTTCTGCTTTACCAGATATACCAGCAAGAGTAATGTATATACTATCATTACCACAATTTTCAAAAAAGTCTTGAAGAAGTTGTCCAAGGGTACTCTTTCCTGATGATGGAGGACTATGCAAAAGGGTAATTTGGTTACTTTCTATAAGTTTAGTGATCCATTTCAACCTTTCATCTGATATAACAGCAAGACTATCACGACCTTCTTCTGATTCTTCAGGATCTTTAATATCAAAAAGTCAGATATTTGAAAAAAGTAAGTTTTATAGAATAAAACAGGATTACTAGCCAATGCCACAAGAAGTATATATAATATACATGTTTGTTTCCCTTTCTTTCGACCACCAATTTCCTCATCTTCTAATTTTCTTTTTCCTAATCAGATAAAATGTCAATCAAAAGCAACAATGAAAAGTGAATGAACAAGAAACCAAGCAAAAGTTTGTAAATAAATAAATGAAATGGAATGAATGGAAAATAATTTTTTTATATTTTTTTACACAATTTGTTCATTACGTTCCCCTCCACCAAATTCTCTTAATGCCTTTCCCCATTCCTCCACCTGCTTCTTCCAGTCTTGCACATTCTTTGCCAACCTCTCCTTTTCTTCGATCAATCTCTTTATTTGTCCTTCCCACCTCTCCTTCTGTTCTTTGTTCTTATATTCTTCGTTGTCCAGCTTCTTCTCTAACTCATTCAACTTCACCTCCCATTCTTCCAGCTTCTTCTCCGCCTTCTCATGCTCTTTTTTTGCATTGTTTAATTCTTGTCTAATTTCTTCAATCATTGCCATTTTTTAAAATTAAAAAATTTAACAATTAATTTTCTCTAAAAAAAAAATTTTTTTTAGATCGTAATTGTTATAATTTATGCATAATTTCGACCAATGATAAATTAATGGGCACATGACTTGGAATTATTTACGAATGGCAAAAGAAAAAATTATTTTTATTTTAATACAAATAACTAGCAATTGCATCTGTGGGCGACTAACATTGCCCAATTATTATATTAATGTTAAGTTATTTATTTATTATGTCCACATAATACATGTAAAACATCAGAAAAAAAAAATTAAATAATTTTTTTTTTGTGTGTTTATGTATATAATAATAATAATAATGATTTTATAAAAAAAAAAAGATAAAGACAAATGTTCATTTTATTATTGTGAATTGTTGTTAATAGGCAATGATTTGGCAGCAATTTCTTCCAGCCAAGCATACTCCCCAACCATCAATTGATCAACCATGAATGCCTCCCTTGAAAGAGAGTTAATTCTGAGATCTTCCCATTTGGCACAATGGTTGAGAGCAACATAAGCCTGTCCAGGAGCAAATATCTGTTGGTCAAGGCAGACAGACGTACTTGGCAAGGTTAACCCTTGTGTCTTGTGGACTGTTAGACCAAAAGCATTCTGTATATTAATCTTCTGCTTGGAGAGGACAGCATCAACAATGGCAGAGTGAACAGAAAAGGCAACCCGAATTTGTTCATTATCAACATCAACATCTGTTGTTTTTAATAAACATAAAAAAAAACAAAAGGTTAAGATGGCAGACTTATTTATTTATTTCTTGTGACAAAACAATTAATCTTTATTTTTTTTATTTTTAATAAAAAAAACAATTGATCTTTATTTTCATTATCATTGAAAAATCAACCTTTATTTTTGTTATCATTAAATAAACAATCAATCTTTATTGTTTATTGTTATTAAAAAAAAATGAATCAGCTAATTCTTTTTTTTTTATTTTTCACGATTAGCCAAAATTTTACCTTTGATCAAAAGCCATTCACGAATTTCAATTGTTGATGGTAACAAAGATAATTTTTTTGGATTCAGGATTTTTTAAGATGATTGGTTCTGTGTAAATAGGAGATAAGAGGCTTTCTCAAATCTTAAATTGATTGGTTTTTTTTCTTCCCCACTACACATTATTTAGCATAGTAGAAATTTCATTTTATCTAAAAAAAGAAGACCGGAAGTTCTTTCTTGATATTTGCAAAATGTAATGTCATTGTTCTCATAACAATAGCGCTAATTGAAATTTCCAAGGAGGCTTCGACTGTTTTTTAAAAAAAAATTTTCTTCCGATATTTTCTTATTTTTTGTTAATACATATTTAACATTAACATGCTTCTTGTAAAGTCACACGACGTAAACCTGTTTTCGTAAATATGTGACACGATCAAAATAATTTTCAGAATCGCAGAAAAGAAATTACAACCTGCACTATTTTTTTTATTATATTAATTAATAATTAACAACAATCTAGGGAAAAAAATTATCGCCATATTATTTTATTAATCATTAATAAGCAGAAAAGAACAAAATCAATGGTTTTTTAATTGCCAACAACAATCAATGAACATGATTAAAATTTATAAACGAATGTATCATTATTATTATTTACATTTTTCAAAAAAAAGAGAAAGTTTTTGATGATCATCATTTTGACGAATTGTGTCAACAAAAAAAAATTTGTTCACCACAATGTTTTGTATTCAAAATTTTGCTCTCACTCTTCCTCGAAAATTCAGTTTACCAAAAGTTCAGAAACAAACCTTTGCAATTTGCAATCTGTAAATAATAAAATAGCAAATTGCAATTTGCATATTGCATAGTTTATAAAACGGACTGTCGGAGATTTCCTTTTTAGGTTAGCGCGTATGACAAAAATAAATAAGATTTCCAAGACTAATAAATAGTTGTCAAGATTTCGAAATATTTATATCGGACAAAAAATGTTCTATTTCAAAATTAGAATTTTATTTTCACGCCTTTATTAATAATTGTTAATCATCCAAAATGCTAAAAATACTGTTAAGCTTTGAAACGTATAGGCTCAATAACCAAACAAGTTAGAGTAAAAAAGTTTCCATAGTTTTTTTTTCTGTGATTCAAATAAAGTTATACGATTTTATTATAAAATTTTTTCCTTGAAAATCTTTTCCTTTTGAAGAGAATGCATTAAATAACATTCAATTAATCTTACGGGAGATTCTACAAGGAGTAAAGGTTCTAAGGAATTAGTTCTCATTTTTTGACTGCACGTGCATTATGAATTATTCTTTTTCTTTTATTGGGCTTCGGTTCACATATAAAAACATATAAAAATCCGTTGTGGCAAAGTAAATAAACTTTTCTTATTATTATTATGTATCCCGTTCATCTGCTGTGACTGTATGCGTAAAATTATTTTACCCCTATTGAATTCACTGTAATTTTTGTGATTATTATTTTGTAAAATGAGTGAAATTTTCAACTCATTGAATGAATTACTCACCAAGCTAAATGAATTAAATGAACTTATTAATTCAAACAAATTACTCAACACGTTAAAAATAATAGAAAATTGTATCAATTGTAAAGTAAATATACAAAAAAATTATTTTGGTACATTTTATGAATCATTAAATGAACTAAAAAAGATTTCAGAAGAATTAGACAAGGAAGAAAATGAAGATAGGAAAGCAGAAATTATCCATAAATTAAGTGATGAATTAAATAAATTAGATGTTGAAATAAATAAAACAATATTATGTTGTGGGTGTCAAAAGAAGAATACATTCAATCCATTATATGAATTACTCACCAAACTAAATGAATCAAATGCATCAATTATTTCAAACAAATTACTTGACACATTGAAAATATTAGAAAATTGTACTGGTTGTAAAAATTATGTGCAAAAAAATAATTCTGATTTATTTTATAAATCATTAAACAAACTAAAAAAGATTTCAGAAGAATTAGGAAAGGAAGAGAATGAAGATAGGAAAGTAGAAATAATCCATCGATTAAGTGATGAATCAAATAAATTAGATGTTAAAATAAATAGATTAAGATTATGTTATGGGTGTCTAAAGAAGAATATATTAAATCCATTATATGAATTACTCATCAAACTAAATGAATCAAACAAATCAATTATTTCAAACAAATCACTTCACACATTAAAAATAATAAAAGATTGTACCAGTTGTGCACAAGGAAGATATAATTATTATTATTTATTTTATGAATCATTAAATGAACTAAAAAAGATTTCAGAAGAATTAGAAAAGGAAGAAAATGAAGATAGGAAAGCAGAAATAATCCATAAATTAGGTGATGAATCAAATAAATTAGATGTTAAAATAAATAGATTAGGATTATGTTATAGGTTTCAAAAGAAGAATATATTAAATCCATTATATGAATTACTCACCAAACTAAATGAATCAAATGAATCAATTATTTCAAACAAATCACTGGACACATTAAAAATAATAGAAGATTGTACCAGTTGTGGACAAATATATAATTATTATTATTTATTTTATGAATCATTAAATGAACTTAAAAAGATTTCAGAAGAATTAGACAAGGAAGAAAATGAAGTTAGGAAAGCAGAAATAATCCATAAATTAGGCAATGAATCAAATAAATTAGATGTTAAAATAAATAGATTAAGATTATGTTATGGGTGTCAAAAGAAGAATATATATGAATTACTGACCAAACTAAATGAATCAAATGAACCAATTAATTCAAACAAATTATTTGACACATTAAAAATAATAGAAGATTGTACCAGTTGTAAAAGATATACAAAAATACATTATTTTGATTTATTTTATGAATCATTAAACAAACTAAAAAAGGACTTGGAAGAATTAGACAAGGAAGAAAATGAAAATAGGAAAGCAGAAATAATCCATAAATTAAGTGATGAATTAAATAAATTAGATGCTGGAATAAATAAAACAGTATTATGTGATAGTTGTCAAGAAAAAAAAATTTTCAACTCATTAAATGAATTACTCACCAAACTAAATGAGTCAAATGAATCAATTAATTCAAACCAATTACTTGACACATTAAAAATAATAAAAAATTGTACCAGTTGTAAAAAATATGTACCAAGAAATAAGTTTGATTCATTTTGTAAATTATTAAATAAACTAAAAAAGATTTCTGAAAAGTTAGACAAGGAAGAAAATGAAGATAGGAAAGCAGAAATAATTTATCAATTAGGTGATGAATTAAATGAATTAGATGTTAAAATAAATGGAATATTATGTGATGGGTGTCAAAAGGAGAATATATTTGACCCATTATGTGAATTACTGACCAAACTAAACAAATCAAATGAATCAATTAATTCAAACAAATTACTTGACACATTAAAAATAATAGAAGATTGTACCAGTTGTAAAGAATGTGCACAAAAAAATTATTTTGATTTATTTTATGAATCATTAAACAAACTAAAAAAGGACTTGGAAGAATTAGACAAGGAAGAAAATGAAGATAGGGAAGCAGAAATGATACATACATTAAGTGATGAATTAAATGAATTAGATGTTGAAATAAATAAAATAGCATTATGTTATGGGTGTCAAGAGAAAAATATATTCAACCCATTATGTAAATTACTCACCAAACTAAATGAATCAAATGAACCAATTAATTCAAACAAATTACTTGACACATTGAAAATATTAGAAAATTGTACTGGTTGTAAAAATTATGTGCAAAAAAATAATTCTGATTTATTTTATAAATCATTAAACAAACTAAAAAAGATTTCAGAAGAATTAGGAAAGGAAGAGAATGAAGATAGGAAAGCAGAAATAATCCATAAATTAGGTGATGAATTAGATAATATACATTACAAAATAGATGAAAGAGTATTATGTGATAGTTGTCAAGCAAAAAAAATTGGAAATAAAAAAATAGTTATATTTCTTGATGAATGTAAACAAAATGCAGGCAATAGTAATTATATGAAATGGATTCCATTCAATGAATTTAAAAACATTGAATACTTGGCTAAAGGTGGTTTTGGGGAAGTACACAAAGCAATATGGATTACTGAAAATAGGATGATTGTATTAAAAAAATTATATAATTCCCATGATCAAATTTTAGATGTTTTAAAAGAGGTAAATATTGATCTATTATAAAAGTTATTATTATTAATGTAAATGCTAATAATGAATATAATCATAATAATTTAGTTAAAAACAAGTGATAAATTTGGACGTTTTGTTAACAAATGTTATGGAGTTACTAAAGATCCAAATGAGAATAATTATTCATTGGTATTTGACTATGCCACAAATGGAGATTTACATAATAATTTATTAAAAAATTTCAAAGAAATTACTTGGGAAGATAAAATTTATTCAATATATAAGATTTCAGAAGGGTAGGTTTTTTATGAATTCATTAATGTTTATATATATATATGTAGTAAAATAATTATAGCATGTTTTTTTATGAACTAGATTAAAGAAAATTCATGAAAGTAATTACATTCATCATGACTTGCACAGTGGTAATATTTTTTCATACTCTCTTAATTATAGCCGAATAGGAGATTTAGGATTATGTCAACAAGTAGTTAAAAAAGATAACCCAAATAAAATATATGGAGTCATTCCATATCTGGCACCTGAAATATTATCAAAAAAATCATATACAAAAGAATCTGACATTTATAGCCTTGGAATGATAATATGGGAGCATACTTCAGGGGAAAAACCTTTTCATGATAAAGAACATAATCATCATCTCATATTAGATATTTTAAAAGGAGTTAGACCTCAAATCACTGATGATACTCCTAAATTTTGTGCTGAATTGATGAAAAGATGTTGGGATTGTAATCCAGAAAATAGACCAACAGCTGAAGAAATTCATAATTGTTTTGGAAAATATTATTACTCATCTAAAAGAGAAAAAAAAATTATTAAATTAGCAGAAGCCAAGCGACAAAAAATCATCAATTCAGAAAAATACTTGTTAGATACAAAAAATTATAAACACCACCCAGAATCATTCTATACAAGTCGTCCACTAGATGAATCAATTCAGAAAGCTGAACTGTTAAATTGTTCATCAACTAAATCAGATCAGGATAGTAATATTCATGGCTTATTGATCTCAAAATTTATTGGATGATAGATGTTGATGAAAAGATGATTGTAAAATTTTGATTTATTAATTTATTATTATTATTATTTATTATTATTATTATATTAATATTTATATATTTATAAATTAAATCATTATATATTTTTCTTTAAGTTGAATAAAACAAATAAAAACATCATATTATTTAACCCTGTTGTAATTAAGTACCAAGAAACAAATGTTTTCTTTATATTATATTATATGGGACCTTTTTTAGCAAAAATGACTTTCCCAAAAACTTTATTTTTGCAATGAAAAATAATGTAATAGAAATTTTTTTTTGATTTGCTTAGTAAAAAAAGGTTATAATATTGGGTAACTTTACTATGTTATTCGAAATTTCAGCAACTATGTGAAATTGAGTGCGGGCACATATGTTACATTAAAGGTAGCCAATGTAACTATATTGATATGTAAAAATTTAATTTAATAAAATCACAGATTAACCAATTTAACAAACAACACTATGCACTGCCTTTTACAGTCATTGTTTATGATATATATACCTTAATATTAAATAATACATGTTCAAAATGAAAAATTACATTTCTTTATTAATTATATAATTATGCGCTCATATTTTTGATTAACTAGCACGAACTACTGATTTTTTGCTCAAAAGTTGCATAGAAGTTGAAAATTCCAACTTTGTAGATAACACCTTATTTAAACCTATATATTTGTTAAAGTATCTGGGTTAATGAACTAATGCCCTATCTGGTTGAATATATTAAATTGTTTAATGATGTGAAGAAAAGGGGTTATTATAATGATGATACTGATGGTGGTGATGAAAAAGATCATTAAGACTTCATAATAACATGCGTGGTCTTTTTATTCTAACTGATAATAACCGTCAATACCACAGATTATGTTGAGGAACAAACGATGATAATATTCCTATTTTATCAAAGAAAAATGAAAGAACAATCCGTGTTCTAATGATGAAGATGATATTAGTGATGATGTTGATTATCGCAAGACAGTAAAATAAATAAAAAATAGGTATATTAATAAAATATCATTGTTATAAATCCTAAGAATCAAGAAATAATGGATAAAGAAGAAATTTGAATCGCTAAATAAAACTTATTTCGATGGTCCAAGAATTATTCTTAATAATTCTAATAACACAAATAATAAATCAATTAAAAATAAATAAAATATTCTTTCTTTTCTTGCCACTTAGTTTTTTTAGCTCCTGCTGTAGTCTTGTTTTTTATTTTCTTATAAGATATAATTATCTAGTTCAACTTTTCTAATTCTTTCGTTATTGATACTAAAACTCGGGAATAATTGTTTTTTTATGGTAAACTGCGAGTATTGCAATGTTCCAACTGCATATTGCGATTTTGAGTGACAAAATTTAAAAAAGTTACTTTATTAAGACTTTACAAATTTGGAAGGTAATACATTATTATATTATAATTATAAATACTATATATTACTAATTATTGCCGCGCTTTTTTTTCGATCAAAGTTATTTTTTTTTCCTATATAATAAAAAAAAAATGAAGTTTACTAAAAAACACGATGAAATGCTTAAACAAGTTCCATGGATTTTTATTAAAGCTAAAAATATTAAAACTGATGATTTAATAGAAGATAAAGAACAAAAGGTTGCTGATGATATTGTAGTATTACTTGTAAAATCTGTATTCACAAAGAATTCGTATATTATACTTTTTACTGATTTAAAAAATGTTTGGTTCGAGGAATTATTTTCTGATGAAATTAAACAAAGGTTTCAGGAAAGTGTTTATTATTAATTGATTGATTGATTGATTGATTGATTAATAAGATTATGACAGCAAACAATAATTAATTTTTTATATTTATATTTTTTATTTAAATTTCAATAGGAATTAAAAATTTCAATTGATAAAGATAATTTTTTTGAATATATTTTGTTTCTATCAGAATTTTTTTTAAGACAACAATTGGATGTCAAACATAAAATAAACAAGCAAAATGATTTAGTAAGGTTTTAAGATTTTAATTTTAAGATCGAGATTAAATTTGAGTTTTAATATTCTAAATTCAAATTCAAATTCAAATCCAAAAAATAAAGCTTTGTGTAGAATCTATAAGAAACTTCGGATTAATCGATTTGACATGGAAATTTAAATGTAAATCTATTACATCAACATCTCCTCCTTCATCTCCAAATTTAAATTCAACTTTAAAATCAGATTCATCCTCAAACTCAACATCGGATTTAAAGTCAAGTTCAACATCTTCAATAATTGATGCATCAACAATTTTATATAATCATATTATTTTACCTCAAATGATGGTTATTTGTTCATTTAATCAACTAATCAATTCATCGTCATCGTCATTGTCATTCTCTGATAACAAAGATAACAGCAAAAATAACAGCAAAAATAATAACAAATCTGATCCTAATAAAGAAATTGAAAAGGTAAGTTGATAAATTGATAATTGTGGATTATTAAAAAAATCAATTTTAAAAACCATTTAATTTTTATTTTATTATTTTATTATTATTTAGATTATAATAGCAAATATCGAAAAATATCATATTAGTAATGATATTTGTGATGAAAATAGTAAAGACCTATTAAATATATTAGGAGATTCGAATATTTTAAATTTATTAAACTTTTCAACAAAAAATTTTATTAATTCTCAAGGTAATTAATTAAATAACTAATAGTTTTATTATATTTTATTTTTATTATTTAAAAAATATTAAATATTTTTTTAATTTTTCAGCATCAACAACTACTAATAATAGTGAAAAAATTGAACCAGAAAAAATAATTTCTTCAAATAGTAAATCTAATATAAATAATATTAATGAAGATGGTAGTAATGATAATGATAATGATGGAAAAGAAAAACATATCACAAATGAAATTGATAAAAGACAACAATTAAAAGAATTAATTCTAAAGAAATGTGAACATAACACTAAAAAAAGAAAAAAAATCCACTGATAATTTATTTAATTTATTTATTTATTATTTATTTATTAAAAGTTATTTTATCTTAATCACTAATAAAAACCAGCAGTATTAGAATGACATGGTGACAAAATCAAAGTTTATGGCACGTGTTAGAAAGTTTACAATTAAATTTTTTTACTATTTTAAAAGAGTATAAAATTATTTACAATATGGTTATTTCTCAAGACAATAATACAGGGTGGTTACCTTTAAATCAGATGATAACCACGAAGAATTCTTTATCCTGAATTGGGTTGTAATCATTAATGAATTAATATTATACATTATTTTTTGGTGATGATGAATCATCTTTAGGTGTTAAAATGGTGTGTGAAACAATCTCATTGATAGATACAAAAGGGGGTTTTTTTTTGATTAATTAGATGCTTTTGTATTTTCACTGGATTAATACTAGGCTTCGAACAGTTAATGGCAGTAATCAAGGTATCGTTGACAAATCTTCAAAACAAAAAGTGTAAAATGCTTTTAGCACACAGATAATGCACAATTTATTCTCGTATACTTTGGTATGGGGGTCATAAGGATCTGTTAAAGATTGTTGAAGTAAATTATAATATCATTTAATTATTTGTTAATGTTGTGATTAACGAGATTTGTGATAACAAGATTGATTGCTACAACTGGGATGTATCAGGAATTCATAATTAATGAAAAAAAAAAAATCAAAAAAATATTTATATGCAATGTGCTTGAATTATCAAGAAGCCACACTTTGTGGTATTTACCAATTTTGCACCTACAAAAAAAAAATAGAAAGAAACAACACCCCAGTTTATTTGCTTATCATAAAAAGAAAGGAAGAGCAAACCAAGAATTAATTTATATCTTTGCCCTAAATATCTTGTATGGACTATTGGGTAATTTAGCATAAGAAATTAATCAAAAAAAAAATTTGGTGCACCTTTTGATAAAAAAGCCACCCATCTTGTTATATACAAAGAATTTGAAGTGAAAAATACTTACAGTTAATTCCAAGTTAAAATTATTTCTATTAAATATAGTTTAAAATCCCCAATGCTTTGACATGTGATTGAAGAGAATAATAACTTTGGAGATTATCACCATTACCTATGTTATTATTATTATTATCATTAACCCTATTAAATGGTAATGCATTCTTTATGAATTCCATTCTCCTCCTTATCATCAACTGTTTTTTATTATCTATCCTCTCCTCCTTTAACATTTAATTCATCATTATTTATTGCTATGCCTAATCCTATTATTATCACCAACATTAATTCAATGATTTCAAGCCTTATTAAAATGTGTTTTATTTGGATTTAGAAACACTACCTCTAAGAGAAAAACCAAATGCTATGAATGGATTTCGTTATCCAAAATATGATAATGGTAATTAGAAAATCTTTTACACAGAAATCTATTAAAAGAAAATGCTATAAAAAAGTATTTATCATGTACTATATCTTATTAAATCTGTGTATGTAAAAAATTTTTGTTTTTTCTTTTCCAGGAAAACTTTTATATTCATGTATATCAATTGAGATTTTTAAAAATTTTTACTAATTAACATCTTTTAACGTGAATTAAAAATTATATATAATTTATATTGAATGCACATTCATGTAATTTAGTTAGGATTTTTGCTATGTGAACATTTTTTCAAAAAATCTTTCCATTACATTGAAGCTAAAGACTCAATCTGTCAATTAATGAAGTTAAAATTTAAAATATTGACTAGTTCTTGAGTTCTAGAATTTTAAAGGTCATAATAATATTTGTTTTTCTGGTGATAATGAATTATATTAGGTGTTAAAATGGCGCAAGGACAATAAATACAAAAGGGGGGGTGTTTGATTAATTAATGCTTTTATTTTCACTGGATTAATTTGCTTCCCAAAACATCATATTACTAGACTTCAAACAGGTAATGGCAGACCTTCAAACAAAGACTGTGAAATGCTTTTTGGTAGATCAGATAATACACAATTTATTCTCAACATGGAAAGGTCATAATATCGATCATTACAGGGTATTATCCCTGGTTGAATTTAGCCAATCAGATTTTCTTCTGGAATTTCATACCATCAATCATTACGGTATTTAATATTTCCATCTATGAATAAATTAGATTGATATTAGTAAATACCAAAAAAAAAAAAAAATCACAAACAAATAAATTGATAATAAATAAAATTATGTCAAAAAAAACAAAAACATGAAGCATGGCACAGAGCTAAACATCCTATGAACAAGGCAACAATCACAACAGCAATCTTCTGGCAATTTGCATGGTCCAAGAGACAGGGATTGGAAGAAAAAAAGAATGATGCTAAGAAGATTTTGAAACAATTTAAGGTATGGGTTCTCTTTTTTTTTGGGATGTTAATACTTATCGTAAATCATGCTGTTTTTTCAAGTCATGGTAGCTGTTCAGGGAATGTGGGAGACAATGGTTCTGCTCACATATGGACTATGGTTCAACCCTGTCAGCAGTTGTGATCAGTGTTGTGACCAGAAACTCTTTTGGCTTCCCAAAACATTTCGGAAAATGAACTTACACTAAGCAGAAAACTAAACATAAACATAAACCTAACATAAACTACTAACCTAAACTAGTTTCAGGTGATTTCTGTTAGTTTCTGTTTCGGGTTTTCCCTAAACTCAGAGTTTCGGGTCACAACACTGGTTGTGATGTGGGGGTTCCACTGAAGTTCTTCCATGAAACTTGCAATATTTGTTGCTTGCTGACTGTTTATACATATTTTCTGATTTTCATAGCATAGAAGGTATAAAGACTGGTGGATATATTGATGATTTTTGGATTAATATGAATGTGGAGCAGAGTTGGCAAATGTGTAGTCTATTGGTGGTCTATTGGTGATCCATTGGGTCCATTAGTATACCATTTCAACTATATTTAGTATTTATTAATGGCAATGGACCAGTCAAAAGTCCATCATTCTCAATGGACCAGTAAATTTGTCAACTCTGATGTGGAAAGACAAGCAAACCTAAAAGAGAGGCAAATCCCATCTGAGTATTTTGTTTATCAATTCTAATCCTCACTTAAACCTTGACAATATGTAGATGACTTTTCTTTATTTGTTTTTAACATACATTCTGATAAACTAAAAATTCTCAACAAACTTCTAATAATAATGTTAAAAATGAAATTGGTACTGTGAGATCAAATATTCCGTCTCACACAAATCTATTAATTTGGTTATAATATGATTTATTCCTTCCTATGGCAGTATACAGTTGTGTAATTCTTTGATTACTTTCTCTGTTTTATAGCGTTCAAGCTATTTAACTCTCTGCAGGGCAAGTTTTCTTACTTCCCGTCCGGTAACGTTTTCTCAGCAGTTGCTATGTTTTCTGCCTGAGCCGGAACGTGTCAATT